ATAAAATTGTAGGAAGAAACTTCCGTCAAATAATCTTTGTTGCAACTTTGAAAAGCAACATTCTTTTGCATGTATGATAGGAAGACATCAATGAATAATTAACTTAACTGCATGCAGGAAATTTCTTCACATTACATTGCTCCCTCACGATGAACTTAATTTGTGCAAGAGAAAGTAATTTCAATTGATTTTTACTTTGAGGGTCGCCACAAAGAACAAGTTTGTTTGTCTTGTGGTTTGTTACAAAAGATACATTTGAAAATCTTTCAAAATATAATGCAATTTTCTATGGGGAAGTTCCTGTATCAACTTCAAAGCTATTGTAAATATATGTAGAGAGCATAAAGTAGGGTAGAAACCACGGTGGTGCGGAAAATTGGTATGAACGATTTATACTTCAATAGCGAGTGTACATTTTCACAGCAGCTATAATTCTATTTCAGATGAATAGGACTTGGAAACAGTCTCTGATTCTGCAATATAATGATGGAAGTTTTTGAGTAGTTTATATATGAGGTGATGCTTTTGAAGTTTGTTTTTATCATGCGCTTCACTCCGTGCTTAAAAGCAAACTTTCCTGCATAATATACATACATATATAAGGAATATAACGCCTAAATTATACACAAACTTTGTGTAAACCAAATAAGTACAGATGACTCAGTATACACATAAAATATATTCTATAATATTCTATATTTCGTATATCAATGTGCAAAAAGTTTCACATCTCGGAAAAATTCTCAATAATTTCAAAAATCGTCTTATTTGCATTCAACATCAATCAATATTGTTAGGTACATAATTTTCGAGGAAAAACCTTCGCACCTCAGTGTGCAGACAGAATGAAAACCAGTGTGTACAGTAAAATTTATGGAAGAGAGTCTTTGTTTTCACTAAGAGATTTGTAAATAAGCCATATGTAGCACGTGAGCCTGAGATAAGTTGAATTTGATATGCGTCTCTACAACGTACAAAGGGTATTCCGGATAAAAAATTAATTGGAGCATTGAGGAAAAACAGCAACAGCAAATGAGAGCAGAAAAAGAGCGATTCAGCGGAAAATCTTAATTACATTGTACATTTTATTAGAAATGAATTCCGAGAAAATTATTGCAAATTTCATCTACTTGTCGACATTTCGCTGATTTCCATCGTAAAACAGAGTGCCTCTCCCAGAGAGGCATCATTTTGGCTTGTACATTTCGGCTGAAATGCTATAAAATTGAGGAGAGGGAAAAACCTGGATGAAGGCCATCGAGGCCCATTTCGGTCGCGTGTGCCAAAGAAGAAATTTCGAATCCACTTTGTTCACATTTGATGATTCATTGGTATTTTCTGCAATTAAGCAGTGGCCACGAAATTTCAAGTGTGTCAAACGCATTACATAAACACGAGACACCAAGGCGTTCTCCATCATTAATGTTATTCACTAAAAGAAGTATTTCTTCAGAGCGAATTTCTACATCTGCAGAACACTTAAGATAGAATTTTATGATTACACAAATTGAAGATAAATACAGTTCGTTTTCCACGAAATGATTCTCTCCGCGAGTCATGGATCTTGAAACTCTGACAAGCCATTGTATATGGAACGAAGTGTTGGTTTATCTTTGAGAAATGACATTTCGTCCATACACGAGCGCCGAGTGTTTATTAATTTGCCATTAAAGGAAAACTCAAAAAAAATGCGTACCACATTCATGGGGTTGCGAATTCTGAGAAATATTACCATTTTGCCATTGCTGCTATAAATTATAAAATGCGCGTTATACAATCAACTTCTGTGGTAATTTGTATAATTACGTTCCAAGAATTTTTTTTTCTTGTTTCAAAGACTTTTGCGAACGCGAAAGCCCATAGACATATGTAGTGTAAAAAGGGGCACACCCACAATTCGGGAACACACTGTTCGTTTCCACAGTTCACAAGAAGTACATCAGGCTTATTGAATTTTCCCTCCCTTGGCTTGGTTTCCGTTTCAGTGTCATTCCTTATGTTTTTTCAACTGAAGCCATCAATTTGCTCGTCTGTGTGGATCATTATGTGGAATCACCCACCCTCGGAATTCAGGGAATCAATCGAGAGAAGCATCAAGGGTCACATTGAAAAGTCAGCCCTATTTGCTACAGTTACATTTAATTTTCGAATTGGCATCTAATAAATGGAATTCGCGGGAATTTGTCCATTGGGAGTACTATTCTACTGAAAATGAGTAGATTAAACACCAGAACAGTGGGCTTTAAAGTTTCATGTACGCTTGAGGGAGGCTAAAGAATATGAACCTGTGAAGCTTCCACGGAAATGTGAAGATGACTCTTTGTGATAAAAGCTACAATTCATAGAAAATTAATTTTCTATGCGTATATTTTATGAACTACAGCCATTTATAATTTCATATTATTATCATGTTTCACACGAAAATATATGTACGAACATTGATATTCGATTTTCTGAGAGAATTTGTTATGTGGAGAAATCAATATTGATTCACATTTGAACAATATTGTGAAAAAGAATCTGAGGATTAGGCATACTCTATTTATATTTGGATTGCTTTCGCAGAAACAAATTGATTTACATTGGTAATAACGTTTATCATCCTACGCCATTAATTATTATCCAATCAAATATTATATCAGAGTGTATCAAACAAAGTCTAATTATAATATTTCATTCAAATGAATGTCATAAAATGATTCGAATTATGCCAATTAAGCATAAGTATCTTGAGAAATATGAACAAATAGCTTTAAGAGGTATAAGATAGAAACAAATATTGCACAATATTAACAATGCAAACATTCTCGGAATTTCACCCTCTGATTTTCTTCAAAATAACATTGAAAATGAAAACGGAGAAATGCATGATTGATCTTTTCTGAGAACACTATAAAGACAGGGTGCTAAAGGCGACGTGGCTCGTTTGAGGGTGTACTGAGGGTTGGTTCAAAAACAGAAACCGATACACAACATTTCACTGCTTTCGCATTCATTGATTTGGCATGTTTATTGGAAAGAGCGCCGTTTTTCGCCAGAAAACATCTTAAGCTTTAGACACTGGAGAGGGCTTAGAATAAATTCATCATACAAAAGGCGTGTCCGCGGTATATTTTTTATCCACTGCATATGTATATATGTAGTTCATGAATTTTGCTTACTAATTATTTCTAACAATGTGTTTTTTGACACAAATTTTGCAAATAAATAGTAACATAAAGAATCAATATGCTGCACATTGTAAAGTCATTCTCAATAATAATGAAATAATGTGAAATACAAAAGATTGGAGGATGATTTCATTTGCAATGGAATTGGAAATATGCTGTTTTATGTATGAATTTCTGAGATTTCATCATTGGTTAAAAATACTCTTTTTCTCTGTTCAGCTCAATTTTGACAATTCATTGGAATTTCACCAAACTCTGCACATAAACAGACTCAAGGCTTTTCCCAACGTTTTGTATCGAGAAAAGAAATTGAACTCTCGTAGTTGAGGCGCTTGAGACTTTTTTTTTTAGACAGAATGGCGTCTAATACAGTAGAATTTCGCCTTCGGCTTGAACGGTATAAAAAATGAAATACATAATATGGTAAACAACATGAGGATTACAAGACTTCGATAGATATGTTTAAGGCTATAACATATCGTGCTAATATTAACAGATTAAGAAAATAAATAGTAAATAATACATTTTCTAATCGTGGGAAGGCAAATGCAGAATGAAGGCATTTTTTCCTATTTACCCTTATTTGTTTATCAATTCTCCATTTAATTTAAATATTTGTATGAACGGACTGATATCACATACCTTTGATATAAAAAGTAAATAACGTCGACAGATTTACAATATCATTCTTCTTGTTTAAATTTGTGATTTACTCTACATAAAATATTTGATAAACACAACCAAATAATTTATCTTCAACCGATATTATACAAATATTACTGCAATTTTCCATTATTAATTTACAGTCATTACATTGATTAAATAATTGAATTGTGTGCACAAAGACAATTAATTCACTTCTCGATGCTGTGTCAATTCCTCCGAACCCTATAATAATGTTAAGTGATCCTTTGAAGATAATTGTCTTGATAATTGTTATTGAGGTTGAATTTAGCATGCTAAATCATATTGGGATTTAAAAGGAAATTTCAGTTCTTCTCTTTTATGTCACGAGCATAATTTTGTGAGCGCCGGTGCGCGTGTATGTTTCGTGGCAAATTGTATTTGCGCCAGTGTTCGTACCTTTTTTTTCAAAACGATTTCTCAGAATCCAGGTATTGACTACTAATTGTGTTTTTCCACGTAATTCGCCCTCGTCGAGTTACTCTCCAGTAAGTACGTGTTGGAAAATCACTCGTGAAGCGTTCCCCATTGACTAGGCATGGCAAAATGGGCTGAATTGCGCTCAAAATTTGCATTGTGAGAGGCAAAAAAGGAATAAGCGAAAAAACCGCCTGTTTGAGCGACCGCCTCTTTGCCATTCTTTCTCACAGCCACGACTTGGTATTTCAGTAATAATAGCAAATTCTTCTAATTACTATCTCGCTGACGATTACTTGGAATATATCAACGAATCTCTGTTTGTCTCATTTATTACAGCATTGCGCTAGAAATGTCCGACATGCAAGACAGTAGCGTGTGTTGTGCACAATTCCAAGAAGAAATCATACATTTTATAGTTATACTGGATGGTTGAAAAAAGTTATTTCACGTAGAATGTGTGTAATATGGCATAAGTGCTGTATAAAATGTAATATTTCTCTTATGATCACATATTTTCTCTTTTAATAACTGTATGTGCATGTGTGGTGGAAAAGTGGGCAACGATATACGCGCCCGTGCACTTTACTATAAGACAATCTAATTCTTTCTATTGAAGTCATTTTGTTTTCTTGCGATATGCCTTTTTATATTTCCCCTGAATCAATTTATGTGATCACGTAGGGCTTTCACGGCACGACCGGGGAAAGACAAACAGAAGCCACTCACCATTCAATACTGCGGTATCCTTTGGCACAGCAATGCAGACTCTTAAATTGATTTAGAACAGCATACTCGTGGTTAACCACTTCCTTGGTGAACTGCGTGTTTGTGCTGTTGCCAGCAAAGAGGTGAGATGAGCAGTGATCGATTCCCGCCACTCTGCTCATTGCGTCCACGAGAAAAAAGAGTGCCAACTCCAACTTCACAACTGATTTTACTGAAAATTTGGACATTTCCGATGAATTGTGTATCACAATTTGCTAAAATTATATCAATCACATTCACTATACGCTTGAATCACTGAAATGTTCACAGTGTCGGTTGTCTTATCGCGGATGACCGCCTTCAACAGTCGTCTAAAATGATAAAAGGTCTGGCAGTGCAGTCGCCGCAGATAAAGAGTCAGATACCGCCAATTCTCTGCAAGAACTCACTGATGCATCTCACACCTTGATGGGATTTCGCGAACTGTGATGTGTAGAATGTTATCATTGTGCACATATGTGAGTTAACTGCAAACTAATAAGACATTCCAAGAACCAACTCTTCGCAAAGAGCACCGCTATTTCACAGCGAAAATTTTAGCACTTTCACAGAAATTTCTTGCGTGATGAGGCACGTTTGCAAAGCTGATCTCATGCCACCTTCACTCCGCGATTGAAGCCTTCAGGTCTGGTGCAGAAAAGTGCCTACAGCTCGCAGTGGTGGATCAATAAAGTGAAAAATCAGCCAGCGCACAATTCTCCGGGCAGTATTTCTCGGAATTTTGGCAAACAACGGATACAATTGCGTGCGACGCGCGAACCTGCAAACTCGTCGGCGGACAGTTAGCAACTGAATGGAAGTGGCTGTGCCGAAGAGCTCAGTGCTTCTCGGCGACCTGCTGAATTCTAAGGAAAGATAGAGAATCTGAAGCGCAGAGTCGAACTCGCAATATTCCGCGTAAACACGGGGCAGTCTGATTTCTTGGAAATATTATTTACCATACAGTGAATCCGACCATTTATCACCCTATAATTCTCCCCAAAAATCAATCGAAGTCTTTGAGTATGGGCCCTCCTGAGCATAGCTCTGGGCGATGATGCGATATTCACTCACACAATCATACTTTACACTGTAAAATCCTCACTTCCAACACCACCAAGAGTCGCATCTTCACGCATGGCACGAAAAGAGCTTCTTGTGTGATGAATCATGTGCCATTGCAAAATCAGCATGAAGTGCAGTGGGCGATTACAAAAGAAAATTTTACCTGGAAGACCGGCCAAGGACTTCATCCTTCCTGACATGATTTCCTTGGACTCACATATTTCCTTCCCCGCCGTGCAAAACAGACAAAAATTACTTTGCACACAGCAATGGGAAGGTAACGAACGCTTCATCGAATTGAATTGTCGTTTGAAATTCCAAGAAGAAAAAGTATAGAGGTAAAGTGAAAATTCTGTTGAAATATGATGTAATGCTCTGCATAATTCATCAATTTCCCTGCGACGTATGTATGTAAGCTAAAGCCATACAATGTGTGCCATATTATGACTTAAATTGTACATCCATATTACTAACGTGCAATTAACTACAATCAAATGCACTTTCATTAGTAAATATGTCTCTCTTCAGAATTAATAGTGTCTTGTCCATTGTAAGCGTTGACACCTTATTGATTGTGGAGTCTATAAAAGATTCAAGAATATGAAGTCAAATTAAACACAACATTATGTAGTTCAAATAAATCAACTAGGTGAATCTACTCACTGTACACAACGGAGTTTAATTTTTCTGGACGTTGGAAATTCAAACCAGAATCTGTAGTATCGATAAAGCGAAAATGGAACGATTCAAAAGCAAACAGTAATTATCATGTGCAATCCTTATTTTTATTGAAATGCTCAATATTAAAAGAGTTATAAACTAGCTTTAAACCTTTTTGCAGTTAGTTCATATTAGAATTTTTATTCAAAGGTTTATTAGATTTATTTTACATTCTTTACGGTGATAGAAGTGATCCAAGTGTTCTTCCCAATTGGAATGCGAATTACAGGCGGAAATTGTTCCAAGTCAACGTTTGTTTGCTCCGCATCCATGAAATACGGTTCTGGCTTCTCCGAGTATGGTTCCGGTCGCTCTGTGTCTACGAAATACGGTTCTGGTTTCTCCGAGTATGGTTCCGGTCGCTCTGTGTCCACAAAATACGGTTCTGGTTTCTCCGAGTACGGTTCCGGTCGCTCTGTGTCCATGAAATACGGTTCTGGCTTCTCCGAGTATGGTTCCGGTCGCTCTGTGTCTACGAAATACGGTTCAGGTTTCTCCGAGTATGGTTCAGGCCGCTCTGTGTCCATGAAATACGGTTCTGGCTTCTCCGAGTATGGTTCCGGTCGCTCTGTGTCCATGAAATACGGTTCTGGTTTCTCCGAGTACGGTTCCGGTCGCTCTGTGTCCACGAAATACGGTTCAGGTTTTTCCGAATATGGTTCCGGTCGCTCTGTGTCTACGAAATACGGTTCTGGCTTCTCCGAGTACGGTTCCGGTCGCTCTGTGTCCACGAAATACGGTTCTGGTTTTTCCGAGTATGGTTCCGGTCGCTCTGTGTCCACAAAATACGGTTCAGGTTTCTCCGAGTATGGTTCCGGTCGCTCTGTGTCCACGAAATACGGTTCAGGTTTCTCCGAGTATGGTTCCGGCCGCTCCGTGTCCACAAAATACGGTTCTGGTTTCTCCGAGTACGGTTCCGGTCGCTCTGTGTCCACGAAATACGGTTCTGGTTTTTCCGAGTATGGTTCCGGCCGCTCTGTGTCCACAAAATACGGTTCTGGTTTCTCCGAGTACGGTTCCGGTCGCTCTGTGTCCACGAAATACGGTTCAGGTTTCTCCGAGTATGGTTCCGGCCGCTCCGTGTCCACAAAATACGGTTCTGGTTTCTCCGAGTACGGTTCCGGTCGCTCTGTGTCCACGAAATACGGTTCAGGTTTCTCCGAGTATGGTTCCGGTCGCTCTGTGTCCACGAAATACGGTTCGGGTTTCTCCGAGTATGGTTCCGGTCGCTCCGTGTCCATGAAATACGGTTCGGGTTTCTCCGAGTATGGTTCCGGTCGCTCTGTGTCCACGAAATACGGCTCGGGTTTCTCTGAGTATGGTTCAGGCCGCTCTGTGTCCATGAAATACGGTTCTGGTTTCTCCGAGTACGGTTCCGGTCGCTCTGTGTCTATGAAATACGGTTCTGGTTTCTCCGAGTATGGCTCCGGTCGCTCTGTGTCCGTTTGTACCATTTCAAAAGTTCGTCGACCGTGTATAATGTCCCATAAATCGTCACGAGTGATTAAGTGTAGCCTTTCGTTCATTCTCGGGACTACGACACCTTCGACAACATTGGTCACTTCAGCCTCATAATTCCTCAGGATAGCAGGAAGCATGTCGCTGAAGATGTAATTCCATAAATCTCCAAAGTCGCCTAAAGTAGTTTTAAATATAATATAATAATATATAGTAGTTATTATATGAAACTATACCTCCAAATAGTAGGTTATCTAGTTGTGTCAGGAATCGCTCCATTCGAAGGCGAACACGGAAAGATGTCATGTCGAGCCTTCCGTTAGGTCGTGTATTCAGTATGGTGTGTCCAGTAATGTGTAAATCTGAAAATATCGGAATTTAGCTCAGTGTCTGCGATTGTATGTTATATAAATAAGAGTAAGAATAAGAATTTACTAACTAGTCACAAAAATTGAAAATGGTCCAGAACCAAATATCGGCAATATGTCCAAGAAACGGCCACGTAGATCATAAAAAGCTCCTGCAAAAGGTCATATAAAGGTCATTGTAAGGTCAATAAATGGTCAGCGCCAAGAATACCTGAGAATCTCAGAGAAGGAACCATGAAATCGAAATCAAAACGCAGATTTGACCAATTGACTTGCATGCGGTTAAGTCGGATCTGTGTTAAATCACGTACGTCAATATTCCTCATATGACCCCTCAAGGTCACAAGGGAATTTCCAAAGTTGAAGTCGTCGACATAATGGAGGGGGATGAAGTGTGGATCAGCGAGGTCCTGAATTACACCTCTGACCCAGCGAGCCACAATATCATCTAGGCTGAGGTTATTCTCCGGTTCAACAACAGCATTATTTCCCAAAGAGGCTCCCTGGGCGACGGCCAAAATGCCGAAGATCAACAGCACCACCCGCATTTTGCACTAGAACGATCAAGAAATCCTTTTTTACTTATCCACAGAATGTCACAGCAAGCACTTTTTAAAATCACTTACACTCTAGCTGCGAATGAATTACTATGAAGTCCAGACTCCCTTTTTATATGGCAACCTATCGCGTGTGGGTAATCCCTAAGTCCTAAATAAATCATTAAAATCTCCGACTTACCGATACCTATTATCGCATCTTTATGTGAAAATTAAAGCAACTGAATGAGTCTCCCAATCACTTTTCTTCGCTGTGTTCACCTGATAAGATATGATAAGCTTCGGCGCATTAAGACATATTTTCATCGTCTACGAAATAGGTTCAAAGACTAATGTGTAGTAATGGAATCTGTTTTGCCAATATTTCCCATTATGAGTTAAAAAAAAGGTTTGCAGATATTCACATAAACTTACGCACCTGTTTTCATGCCTGAACCCAAGTTACACGTATTTTATCATCCATTCGCAATTATTGTGGCTTCTGAGAGCAATTCTAGACGAGAAAGAGAGCGCATTCTTCAACAGCAGAGGACTTCTTTTTGCAAGGCCTTTTAGAAGAAGAGACTGCCCAATAAAAGAAATTGCTTGATAAAATCCGATTTCCGCAGTGGTAGCTTGTTAATTGAATTTTCATTGATTACTAGGTAGATAATTCAATAGTCAGTCTATCGCTGATTGAACGAGTTGGGTGCAAAAAATGTTGATTTTGTGAAATAGATAGAGATTTCTCGAGCGAAAGTTTCTTTTATGCAAAATATTTCATGCCAAAATTCGATAGAAGCGCATTTTGCATCGTATGTAAATTGAATGCATTCCTCATGTCATTTGCATTATTAATATGCTTTTTTTAAAAAGAGGATTCCAAATCGAGTACATTGAATGATTTTATATCGCCATTTATAGGAAAAACTCGAGAAGAAATTGTACTGATATACATAGGTTTATTAAAAATTCGGTAGAACTACTTTGACTGCATAATTCTTAGCAATAATCAAGCAACTTTAGCGCCTCATGCTATTTTTTAAATTTGGGGTCAATTTATCAATACATATCTATTGAGAACTGCAATGGAGAATATGCTGAAAAGTGGTATGTACAGACAATTACATATAATTCATAAATCCCGCGCTGTGGCGGCGCCCCAATGCAGAACGTACGTCGCTTTCAGCTCTGCAAAACATTGACGTCATAACATTTTCCTTCCCCTCTGGACCCCACCAGAGTGAGTATTTTTCCAGATATGATTTTGCGCATGCCAAGGGGATGCCTTTATCACAGCATAGATGGGAGAATTTTTCGCCAAATTAAAAAGACGAAACACGTCACTGCGACTAAAAGCGATCATCTCCAGTCAGTTGAGAGTCTTTCCTCAAAGTGTCACATTGTGCTCTGTCCGGTCGAAAATCGCGCTGTGTGGAGAGGACAAAAGTGCTGATTTTGGTAATTGGGAAAATTTTCCAAGCAATTCTAGAGGCGCTTTCGCTGGAGCCGCAGGAGAATTTGTGTACAGAAAAATTCAGCAGGTGCGGGACAAAATTTCCGCGGCTGAGATGAACGCTGAGGCACTAAAGTGGGGAATCCGTGAGGAATTTTTAAATGTAAATTAAGTGCAGATATACTCGCAAAATTTATTAGCACATACAAGGTACATAATGTACAAACATATATAAGTACTGCGGCATTTCTTTTGAGACACTCCGGGTGTATATGCAAATGAATTAAAGACAAAAGTGATTTTGCGGTCAATTTGAAGTGGCGAACCCAGGAAAGACTTTCTTCGGCATTTTCACTGCAGAGAGGGTGAGAGCGAAAACACTTTTGCTAGGCAACATTTTTTATTTAAATTCACGACAACACCTGTGAAGTCGGTGACGGGTGAAAGAGGCGAGAAAAGCGCGGAGGGGAGCGAATTTTTCGCCAAAGTGAAACGGAAAAGAGTGTGTTTGCTTTTGAGAAATTGTGTGCAGCAATTTTGCCTGTGCGGCGACACCATCAGCGACCCCCTCGATAATTTGTAAGTAAATATGTAGGTACATATGCATGATGGTGTAATGCATAAAAAATCCCTTCAAATGTGAATACCGCAGAGCTTTTGCCATAAAAGTAACAATTGCGTGCTTTATCGTACACAAAACTCACCTTATATAATTTCGACACCATATCTCATGGTATCCGACATGGGTTAGAATATTTGCTTCATTGTGTAGCGCATGTATACTTTTAAAATTTTAAGTACATTATAAGTTTGTACAAGACTTTCCTTGTGTGCATAAGGTGAGCTTATAACGAAATTTCATCTTTTTTATATTATGTATGTATATTTAACTTTCTAGTACATTATGTACAGCCAAAATGGCGGATGGAAGGTTGAAAAGTTCTAGTTCGGCGCTTTTTTCTCTCTCTCCTCTCGCCTTCTTTATTTTCAAAACAATTTTTAAACAAACAGAAATCAATTTACCCTCCTCGCCCGAATCCAATTTGTATCAACAAAGTCTGCATAAATGACACTTTTCATTTTACTTCCATCAATCAGGACAGGATAAGGAGGCAAGGGGGATCCGTGGGAGTTTAACTGTGAGATTTTCCGCTGAATTCAGGAGTTATCTGTGGCGAATGGGGTATTAATTGAGAGATTCCTAATTGATTTATATCTCGCTGCGAGGGAAATTGAGTTGTGACAAACTTTCGGCGGTGCATATAGAATAGGGAGATTGAGAACAAAGGTGATATGCAGACCGTGACTAAATGATTGCATCTATCCAGGCTTGGTGGAAAAGTTAAAACGTTGCATATCCTTCACCATTTACTTGGAAAATGCCAGGTGCGGAACAATAAAACCTCGTCAAGCTATATCCAACGCTCTGCACTATCGCATATCTATGCAGGTACACAGAAATATCTGGATATGGCATGATATCGATTTTTGCGAATTGTACACATGAGCTCAACCATCACAGAGCTCCACAGTAGCGTCCCGCTTTACATTTATTGCAAATATACACAAAAACCACCCTTCCCAATCCACCCGCCGCCGGGTTGGCTCGAATAAAGAGTGTTTGTGTGAATTACCTTAATATGCATAAGACCAATGTGAAATGTGCTTTCGAGTGGAAGACACATAAATTCTTATTCTCGCCTCTACCCCAGGCACTTTGCCACCTCCCTGCAACCACTTCGGCTCTAAATGAATTTTACTTTTAAGAATAATTTCCCTATTACCTCAATAATGAAGTCGGTGAGGAAATTATGGCTCACGTTCCGTTCCATGATGAATGTATATAAATAATAAAATGTTCAATTTCACTTTTTATTGCGCCATTAATGCATATTATTTAAAATTCATTCTCTTGCCCTTTTCGTCGGATTTATTTTATATGTTCATTTATTCTCAGCAGGGTCACGCGTGTAGCTCAGCGAAAACAATATTATGATGGGAATTTGGAGAAATTCACGACGACTTTCCATGAAAATCCGATCTGAGTATGCCCCTTTCACTGCTACCCTTATATGTCATACATATATGTGTGTATGTGTATAGCATATACGGATTATGTACATATAATGCACTCCGCTTGACAATCCGTATATGAAAGGTTGTGACAGAATCATTGAGAAATAGTTAATATACAGAATGCACCAGGGTTTGCAATTAGTTTTGTTCATTCTGATGTGTTGAATGACATCGAATTAGGATTATTGATTTGTGCCTTGTGCAAATTAATCAGTTTACAAAACACACAACGCGTGTATATACCTACATATGCAATCAATCCAGTTGCAACAGAGCAAAATACCTCATTAGAATTTGCGGAAATAATTTAGCTTGTCCTTTTTTCTATCTCACTTCGTGTGCATATAATAAATTCCATGTTTTTTTTTTTACTAAATCCGTTTAAAAATAATGAGAATGAAATTTTTTTCAGCCCATAAATAGCATATGTAAATATTGGCCAAAATAAATTACATATTGTCAAATAGGTTATTTCGAGGAAATAAAGTCATTATGATTTGACAGTTCAATTAATGGTAATGGGATTCTTGGTCAGCCGCGATAAATTTATATTCAAAATTGTATTCAAGTCGTAACAGATTAAAAAAAAAATAAGAAATTGGGTAAAAGGAATATGTTGTATTCTCATTATTGAAATGTCAAAAATTCTTTTGACAAATTAATTCTACTATGAAATTTTACCTGCCAATCACTCATTCGACAGTTTATGGCGTTTTCCGCAAGTGAAAGAAATACCATGCGGCGTTTTTCGTATCATGAAAATGTTTCTTGATTCTAATCACATAGTGCTGGCATTCAGCCACTCTTTGAAATTTAATAATCACCTTTGGGCTTTGGAACTTACCTTACCTAATGTTTAATCGTTCTAATGACTTGATATCGATTGAGTTTTTGTGGCAGTTTTTACGGGAAAACTTTTTTACGGTGGAAAGGTATGTTACGTTTCCCGTTTATTCAAATTACTTCCGCACTTCATAACTCATTTGTAATTGAAGAGAAAATCAAGTTTTACAGCTTTTGCAGTTGGAAATGTAGGCCAAAATTAATGGATCTAAAGTGAAGTGCCATATTATGACGATTATTGCCTCAATAACTCCCTAAGGTATAACCTTGTATTCTGACCCTTTGGTGTTCTCTTTGGCACGCAATTTGCAAAATTGTGCGATTTTTATCATTATTCAATACAAGAGGCGTCCCTCGTGACTAAATTTACTAATTGAAGTACATTGAAAAGTGATTTAAAGCTTATCTCCCTCGCCTTTCAATGCCACTATGGTTATTAATATCGAATAAGGAGTTTTCTTTGTCCTAAAATATACAGCACGATTATGTGGGAGGGGCTAGCTCCATTTGTGTTTATTAATAGTCATAACAATTAAGCACTTATATAGTGTGTTTAATTACTGATTAATCACTGATGTCGGCTTATATTGCCAAGTTAGGTAGCTATAGGTTAAAGATTAAAGACTTATCGCTCACCAGAAAAATAATTTTATATAATTTCAAAACACCAAAATTAGATAATTGCTCATGTAAACTCCACTCTAAATATAGGAATATAATTAGTGAATGAGGTGAGTTTTTATACAATCAAAATTTCCAATAAAATAAGAAAACATATGTAGGTTTGTTTGTGCATAAGTCACATGAAAATTAATTTGCGATAACTAGAACGTTTTCCATAAATTCTCCATGGTCCAAAATTACAAATAACAGGAGTAGAAGTTTGTATATAATATGGTGTGTCTCAGACCTTAATAATTTCTGTAGGTTATACCAGTGTTCCACATCCGAACTTCATTACGGGGCCGCCACCCCTTTCTTGTGCAAATGGGGGAGGCCTTCGCAGTGTTGGGTCCCGGTGCCTCCTTTGCAGTGCCACCATGAATATTTGTGGCACAGTAATGTGCAAGCCAGAGCCACCCCCGGGGCGGAGATATCTGGAGTTGGGCAATTGAGGGGACAGTATCGCCAGTTCGACTAAATTATTTTACATGTCGACCGGGGCACATAAGGAAGTAATTATCGCACAGTGGCCACTGGGGAATGAGATGGCCGTAACATAAAAGAGGTGGTCAAGTACAAATGTCCACACATCAAAGGCATTACCAGTCAGTGCAATCGATTCATGACATATTAATTTGCTCCCCAGACATTAGATATTGTTTTGCAGTTTCAATTTCGCCCATCCCACCCACTTGACCACTGCATTACAGACACTGGCCGTACAATACGTTCACCACCCTCTGCTGCGGAATGTTGATTTTTCTGGTCACGTCACTTCGTCGCAACTCCTTTGGGCTTTCATGCAACTTCTAAGGCAGAACCCTTTTTCCCTCGTCCTATGGTTTTGAGTGGAACAGAAAAAATTCTGTAACTTTCTAAATAATTCAAAAGATTTCAAAAAAGAAGAAATCTACACCAAAACGCCTCGAGGCCAACGGAGTTTCTCAAGTCATTCTACTAAAAATTTATATGCATGTGGCCAAAAATTTACTCACATATATGTACTTATACGGGAGGTTTTATTGGTGTATTCCGAAATGTTATTTTTCTAAGTATATCCAAACCCTGAAGTCTCTTTTCCGTGTAATTTAATTAGTTGTGTAACCGCGGGGAAAAGCAAGAAAGAACTTTTCTTCCATTCACAATTTCGTGGAAAAATCTATACCTTTTTTCAAATTGTATGCATAAATATTCAGTATAGCCATTTTCTCACCGACCCCTCTTGCCACATTTCCTTGGCAATGACAAAGGAAACTTATAGTTGGAAATTCTCAGTAAACTTTTGGCACACCACGACGTCACCCATAACATTGACAATACATATACCCTATATCTTTACTATTCATAATGGGCCACTTTTTTGGTTTTCCACCCTCTCTTTCTCACTGTATGAACATAAAAATATTTTTTTTTCCCTCACTTTTGCTATATATTTATTGCATAAAAAGAGTATTCCGACATTTATATTAGTGTGACTGGCTGTGTAGTATGAATATATATACAATAAGCGAAAATCCAATAAAAATGGCTCAAACAGACCTACAAAAAGCGAACAAAAACATCTTCCATTGTTAAAATCGTAAAAGAGACCAACAAGAGCAAACGTAATATTGGGGTAGCTATAAAATAACACACCCCGTCGTACCCCCTTTTTGCCTCTCGACACATAATCATCTGGAGATGTGCGTATCACATGTGCTCGAGGCTTCGGGCATATTTTCAAATGCGATTTTCTTTTTCCCTACAACCCCGAAACACCAAGAAGCAAGGATATTTCTCTATTTGTCCCATCGTCACCGTCGAGAGCGTCGGGTGCAGAGAAAATGGTTGAATTTTTCCAATTGAGTCCCTCTCCATGTATACAATTTACTCGCATCTGTATCACCTATTCTGCTTAGTTACGCTCCTATATACATGCATGTACATACACCTCTCGCTTGAGATAGAGAACTTACGTGCAGCAGAGAGGAAAAAATTCAATAAGCGTGCTATGGTTATTGCCGTTGTGATTCCAATGATAACCAGAAAGAAAGGTTGTGCAGAAATAGAAATCAGTCACATGGGAAGTTTCGGCACAGAGTCAAGGGCAAAGGAATTAAAGGATGTATAGAAGGATAAATTCATTATGTACATCAGCTGATGCGGAAATTTTTAAACTGATGTTGCCCGAATTATGGTGCTGGAATAAAAAAAAGCAATACATTTGTTGGGTTTCTAGTTTTAGAACCCATTTAGAAATTAGACAATCAACATCGGTTACAGTCGTTGTCTTTTTTTCGTAACCGTAGCTGTGAGTTTTGCACGATAAGAGCAGAAAGACGGTGCGCCGTAGGAAGCGGGAAGAACAAGATAGAGCTTTCGTCGGTGAGATACTGTCGACGAAGAAGTGAAAGCCGAGAGTGAGAAGCGAGGAGCGGAAAATGCGAGCTAACGAGAGAGATAGCGTGAGCGAAACAAAGACATCCCGCGAAGGAAAACTAAATTTCAGGGGATGTTTAAGAATGTGTAGAGATAGGGATTGCTGATACGGCAGTATGTGTTGGGGAGCGAGTGTGTGTTTGAGGGAAAATCGCAAATGATACAAGAAGGATATTTCAGTGGTAAAAATCGATTTCACTCATTTGACTGGCTCTACCTTTGAGAAATTTTTCAAGGTCATTCCTATGTTCGATTTCACCTGTGTGCCGCAGGGGCGAAAGGTGGCAAAAATATTCTGCACTCTGCAAGGGGCGCCGCTTGATAGTTGAGTGGCAGTGCGATTGCGAGGAGGAATTACAAATTTATTGGTTAAACAATGGAAACTTTTGTGCGCTTGTTTGGTTGCGGAATGTGTAAATAAACCCTGTGCCCTTCAACTGTATTTATCCAAGTGGTTAAACCATGAGTCGGGAATGGGCGCCATCCGAAAAGAATGAAGATGTTTGCGATGGGTGTGATAAAAGGGTGTCTCTCGAAGAGTGAAAAACAACGTTTACAAGTGACAATTCCGTTACGACGGCAAATTGGAAGACCTCGTAGTCAATGACTGTAATATTTACATAGGGCACTGGCATAGAGCACTCTGACTTTGGAAGAAGGAAAAGCCGAAGGGAAAATCAATAATCTTGTGGGGTTGGGGGGCAGTGAGCATCGTTGATTTCTGCAAAAGCTTCACACATAGAGAGCAAATACTTGACTTCTGGCCACCCGACTCGCCTTGATACATCGTCTCCATTGTGAATGTGTAATAGAGTGAAAAATGTTAATTACACGCATCAATTGTGTTACAAAATTAAATGACACCCATGTATGAAAGATGAAGATTCCTGATGAAAGAGACAAAAGGTTACAATGGAATATTTAATGATGCGAAAGTTAAATAATACTTTTCCCTTGATATCACTCTCACCATTCCACTTCCAGTGGACATTCTTGTGGGGCTTTTAACTCGTCATTCTGTTCCACTTCCTTATTCTCCATTCGCATTCTTTGTGACTAATTGCGAGAAAAAGGGTCAACGGTTTCGGAATAAATGTAAATTTTAAATTTCCATTAAAATAGCACTGCTTTGGACCTTGTCGAGAGAGAGTTCCTAACATTAGACTTAATGTAGGAGTATTATGCTCAATCTTGAGTCATTACATTACATACTAAGTTTTATATATTTTCATGTTCCCTGCGGATGTGCCTAAAATTTCACGGCACGGATGAAGACGTATCGAGATAACGACGAATCCAATTTTACGAACTCAAATTAGCCAAATTTGCGCATAAACACGTTGTAATAGGTTTTCCACCCCATATGTAGTAGAGCTTGTATAACATGTAGAAGAAAAAATACACCAAATTTTATTTCGTTTTATTCACTTACCAATTTCGATGTAAGGTATGAGCATAAAAACGACCGCCACTTACTGTGGGATCTTGTGCAATACTGGGGGGTGTACAAAGCAAACAAATCCTCAAAATTTACTCTGAGGCTGTATTTTTTCTTGGATCTACATTCTGGGAATAACACCGCAAATTCGCACAAGTCTGACGGTTTTTGGGAGGAAACCGGAGTAAATTGCGGTGCTGCTTTGCCAGACAAAGACGAAATTCCTTCCTCAGTGCATTTGATTTTAGCCGAATTAAATGTCTCACGGACCGTTCTTGTGTGAAGGCAAAGAAAAAGAAAATTGAGGACTCGTTGGAAGATGGGAAAAGGTACTCGTATATTAATACACTTTGTTGTTTCTCTTTTTTCCCGCATTACTCCTCCACCTTCTCTCTTCCACTCGTGCTCCTCCTGCTATATGCCTCCATGATGTGTCCTTCGCCTGTGCTCCCCATAAGCCGGCTGTCGGAACTCGGAAACAGCATATAGGAAATATGTAGTTGTACTCCTAAGGCTCTCCTATAATGGTTTTGTGCTCTATAGACACAGTTTCGAACAAAATAGGGAATTGGTTTTCCTGCATTCTCTCTGCTGAGCTTTCAATACACATCCAGCACACCAGCACACTTTTGTATGTACATACACACATCTTCTTTAATATAGAGGCCAGAAATTTTCTCACAATTGCTCCATATTTCTAGATATATGTGTAGGCTCATACATACATCTATGTATATATAGTCTACGGAGAATCACATTGTGTTTCATTAATTTTAGAGCCGCGTTCAGTGTACGTGATCTTTTGAATGATTACATATAGCGATACTGCTACCTGCTAGAGCTGCCAGGATGAAAGTGATTCTAATCCAGAAGGCACTTTAACCGCTCTTTTCCGCTCCATAAATTATTATCAGCTGCACACATCCGAATCTTTCACTTGCACACCACAGCTCCGTCATAATCCTCATATAAATATGATGATGGTGACTTTCTTTATTTAAATTGCAATTTATCCCTTATCGTTTTCCTGGTGGGACAATCTTTGCTGAGATGCTGCTTCCAGTGGGGATTTGAGTGCAATTTCGACATGTCCTTGTTCATCTTTCGTCTCCACTGATTGAAGTGATACAAGTTCTTCACTCACAACCCCACATCGTCCCCGCCTCAGTCAACCATAGAATTTCCACTTCACGCCCTCTTATTTCCAGATACACACATATATACATCCATATGTATATAAATTTGCAGCAAAGAATAGAAATCATGATGAAATTTCTATATCAAATTTAGCATTCGGAGCTGTGAGCATTGAATTTGATTTTAGCACGCTTTCTGGCTTTTACAGGACGATTTATATTCTGTCTTATTCACCATTATATATTGATCTAACATTTTATAATAAACACATTTCAACCCTCCGCATTACATACATACATCTTCTCTAAATTCAGAATTATTTAATACCTTTCAGACGAAACACGTTTTAAATAAAGAGGAGGATTTATTCTTGGCGCAAGAACCCAAGTGGCTGAGGGACCGTGAAGGGCGAGACGGGAGAAAATTTATTTCTCTGATAACCTGGTATCTCGCATAATATGTTTCTACATGTGCATTTGAGGTGTTGACAAACGGTGAGTTAAATATTTAATTCAAGGCGGAGCATTTTTTATCACGTTCACAACTTATGTACAAATATATATTCCTCGTCCTTTGCTCCTCGCACCCACTCGTTCACTTTCGGTATTGCATAATCTCGCATAAAAGTGTCCAGTCTAATTAAAATTTCATCATGGTAAAGTGGACAAGAACGGAGACAAGAACAACTTATGTGGACCCAGAATAAGTAACAATATCCTTAAGGATATTGTTACAAAATCAATTTGCCACGTGAAGTAGCAAAAAAGGTAGCGCTTCGCATCGTCTTTCAGCCATTTGCCCTGGCTAAATAAAACCGCAATGGTGCTTTTTCTTGTCCCGTGACATTGATTCTAAAAAAAGAACTCTCGAATACTCTCTATGGCCCAGCATTTAACTTGCAGGTCAGAGCTTCATTAAGTGGGACACTTTTGGGGATTTATCCATTCTATAGCTACAGTAAAATTGTTTGGAAACTGTGCCTTTCAACGAAAAAATTGATTCAATATTTATCTATACTTTGTTATCAAGTATAGCCATGGGACGAAAGTGATTTTGAGGTTTTCAATTATGTGGGCGAATAGAAATCTCAGATAAAATACAATATCATTTTTCCAAATATCGACCAATTGCTAGATGGGAAAATGCGATAATATTAACTATTGCGATTCAGAGTATTGATTTTGTCATTTTTGCTCGTATCTTTCTGTCTCTCGCCGTTGGACTATAAGAAATATTTTATCACCTCTCATCAATTAGTTTCTGTACTGAGTTGTAAGGGATGGAAATACCTTTCAAAATTGACTATTTCTGGAAAAATAATTCACTTGACTTTCCACCTACATTATCAGTTGAACAAAATCCCGGATGACATTCTTAATATAATTACATTTGTCACTTATTTCTGAAAAGTAGTACTGAGTGCAAAACCATTGGCAGAGTTTTTTCCTTAATATTAATACATATTCTAGTCAGATCAATTCCCAAAAAATCCTAAATAGAAAGTGTAGACATTCTCTTGTATAGATTTCCCTACCCCAGAGGTCAGTTGTGTTCATGAAAAGCGACTGTGAGAATAGAGTTTTCTTATCTTAAGTCCCACACGCTGGCAGATCATTCTAGCGCTTTCCATTCTTTTGCAAGTGTGATGATACAAGCTGAAGGATTTTACCTTTCTTCCCTAATAGGTTTCTCCAGGATGGAGATACGGGGCATTGTTGTCACTACAATGCGCCCCTTCACAGGCATCCACAGCGGTGTTGACCAAATGTTTGTAATATGTCTCTTGAGTCTACTTGGAGTGATGTGCCAATTGGCGGAGGGTCGTCACCACGACCTGAGCAGTACGCAGTCTTTTAAGTCGGGGCCAAAGCACATTGCATCCGTGGAAGCGGCGGCGGTGTCAGTTTTAGGCGAATCAACGCTAGAAGTATCGAGCGAGAGTGACGGTAAGAAGCATGAAAGTATTTTCCCAGTCCCACTCCACCGCACTATATTTTGATACCCACCCGTTCACCTCAGTAATTTGCAACCACCATCAACATATCCTATTTTACACACGCTTACACACCCAGCACACCTTAAAGTTAATTTCCTCAGCGTCCCTGCCATATTAATTTAGATTAATTTCACTACGAACACACTCCCCTGAGTTGGACACTTTTCTCGTCTGATGATGAGGGATAAAATGCACTTGAGTTGAGTGAAATTGTACCCAAGTTCCATTTAAAATTTCTCCAGTTTTATGATACATATACCTGGGTGTAATATTTGAATACTTGTCCCACTTCTCGTACGTGCGCGGGTTGCCTGAAAAGTTGTGGGCCGCTCATATAAACAGATTACAAATTGCTTTTATATTTATTTTTCAAGCATAATCCCTCTTGAGAGAGTAATGCATTAAGTGTTATCTGAAAAAACCATTTAGGGGCTCCCCTGTATGTTTAGGCTAATGTCTAGGGATATATTTGCTGAGCTTCTGCTTTTTAAGGCACAGCTTTGAGATTAATTGATGGGCAATTGAAATGATGAAATTTTCTAGTAAATTTTCTAGATAAATTATAAGATATGACAGTTGATAAATTTCACATACAAACTTCCATATCCGTCGCTCTCTTCTAGTCTCATCTGTGCAGCATTTATTAGGCATTCCGGAGTTTAAATGGCTAAATTATTTCACAACCAAATTTCAGATTTAGTGAAATGAAAGTAAATAACATCACTATGTTCTCTTAATGTATGTAACGGGAAATTGTGTCGAAGGTTACTTGGTGGAAGAGGTGGGCTAAATTATATTGGAAACATGAACTTCCCTTTAAATATTCCGCATGCAGAAGCCCTCGAGAGAGCTTATGCATCCGTGGAAATTTGTCTTATTTAGGCCACGAGCTTTCCGAAGAGCCACCATAAAAAACTTTTGTGAATATGAGAGAGCGAATGACTGTAGGTAATATGGAAAAATTGCAAAACTTAAGTATGGGATTTTCTCATAAGAGCGCTATTTCACATTTTTATTACAGTAGTGAAGCTATAGGCCGCCTTATATTTCCCTGTTAATCCGCTGTAATTCAGATTTTAATCCACCGCAATAGCCTGACTGTATCTCTTGCGATATTTACCTTAGCCCTGGGGCATCGTCCCCTTCATGCACAGTGCCCGGGTTGGGGTGTTTTGTGTCCTTGCCATTTTTTTCTGGGCGGTCAGCAGAGATATAGCATGTCACACACAAATTCCAGAAATCTTCCCCGTGTGTATAATAAAAATTCCCAATGTGCCTTCTGTGAATAGAGGCAGCAAGTGGAATATCCTCTCCTCTTTTCCATGCACAGATACCATTTTTACTCCCTATCTTGGCCACGGTGATGCAGTGAGAGTGGTGGATGCGGAACTGGGCACACTGGAGCGTGAAGGTGTCTCCGCTGGGAGTGACGGCACGACCCAGCCGCGGCGTCGCAACATCAGCCGGCGCGAATCGAATCCGGATGCCGAGGAGAACGATCCGCTAATTGTGACCACAGACAAGGGGAAGGTGAGAGGTGTTACATTAACATCTCCAGCAGGCAAGAAGGTGGACGCGTGGATGGGGATCCCGTACGCACAGCCACCTGTTGGGCCATTGCGCTTCCGACACCCACGGCCGGCCGAACGGTGGTCCGGGATCCTCAATGCCACCACTCCGCCAAACACGTGTGTTCAGATTGTCGATACGCTCTTCGGCGACTTTCCGGGCGCCACTATGTGGAATCCTAACACGAATCTCACAGAGGATTGTCTCTACATCAACGTTGCGGTGCCACATCCACGCCCAAAGAACTCACCCGTCATGCTGTGGATCTTCGGTGGTGGATTCTACTCAGGAACCTCTACGCTGGATGTGTATGATCACAGGTAAGTCGTCCTCTGCCACATCGTGTGAATTTATCAGCCAAGTTCTCTCTCTCTCTCTCTCTCCCTACCGCAGAACCCTGGTGGCGGAGGAGAACATCGTTCTGGTGTCCATGCAATACCGCGTGGCAAGTTTGGGTTTCCTCTATCTGGGCACTCCGGATGCACCTGGGAATGCGGGTCTTTTCGATCAGAACCTGGCGCTTCGGTGGGTTCGAGACAACATTCACAGGTTCGGTGGTGATCCAACGCGGGTCACACTGTTCGGCGAGAGTGCCGGCGCAGTGTCGGTTTCCATGCATCTACTGTCGGCCTTGTCTCACGACCTATTCCAGCGAGCAATCCTCCAGAGTGGCTCACCCACGGCACCATGGGCCCTCATCACCCGCGAGGAGGCCATCAGTAGAGCCCTCCGTCTGGCCGAGGCAGTGGAGTGCCCCCATGAGCGGGAAAACTTGCCAGAAGTGCTGGATTGCCTTCGCGGGAAGGACGCCAAACAACTGGTGAATAACGAGTGGAACAATCTCGGAATATGCGAGTTTCCTTTCGTGCCGGTGGTCGATGGAGCGTTCCTGGATGAGACGCCACAGAGATCTCTGGCAACTGGACGATTCAAGAAGACAGACATTCTGACGGGAAGCAATACCGAGGAGGGATACTACTTCATCATTTACTACTTGACGGAATTGCTGAGGAAAGAAGAGGGCATCACGGTGACACGTGAGGAGTTCCTTAAGGTAATACAGCATCATTGCATATGTATTGGCAAAGACGATGGCTAAAATACCATCTCATTGCTATTCCTAGGCTGTTCGAGAGCTCAATCCTTATGTGAATGGTGCCGTGCGTCAAGCCATCGTCTTCGAGTACACAGACTGGACTGATCCAGATAATGCTCACAGCAATCGAGATGCACTGGATAAAATGGTCGGTGACTATCATTTCACATGCAATGTGAATGAATTTGCTCACAGATATGCCGAGGAGGGCAACAACGTCTATATGTATCTCTACACCCATCGCACTAAGGCAAATCCCTGGCCACGCTGGACCGGCGTGATGCATGGGGATGAAATCAACTACGTCTTCGGGGAGCCACTCAATCCCTCGCTCACCTACACGGACGAGGAGAAGGAGTTCAGCCGAAGGATTATGCGATACTGGGTGAACTTTGCAAAGACTGGGTATGCTATCAATTTTTCCTCATCGCAAATTGATATTTCCAATTATTTGGCCTTTGCATACTCCTTCCTGCAGGAATCCCAATCCCGGATATGCGCCAAGCTTGCCCGAATGGCCAAAACACAGTGCTCATGGAAGACAATACATGGAACTAGGGCTCAATACAACTTACCTTGGCCGCGGACCTCGGCTGAGACAGTGTGCTTTCTGGAAGAAATACCTTCCACAGCTGATTGCTGCCACGAGTGAGTGAGAATCCAATTGTCGCTTCTACAAACCCTTGGCTACTCTCTCTTTCACAGAAATGCATTCTCAATTATTTGGTTTGAACTCTTTCAGAGGCCAGTTCGACATCCGCCAATCCCGCAAACTGCACCAGCGCTGGAAGCCACATGATCAGGAATCCAAATTTTTCCATAGTCACCACACTCTTGGCCACGGTGGTTATTTGGAGCGTCAACTAATGACGCCCTTCCTGATCAAGAGTACCACAATTATGTGTTTCGTCACAATAATTGCTATTAAAATTTATATACTCAATTCACTCACGTGAAGTAACGCGGTTTACTCATGAGTTATTTTGAAACCATAAATAAGTCGAAATCCATGTTTGATTCGCCAAGGAGAGACATCCTTAAAAATGAAGAAACTATGGAAAATTGTGAGAAAGTCAATCCACCCATGTTTATTGCATCCATCCACCATCCAAGAGAATTAGGCATATATTATCTCTAAAGAGTACTCACTATAACTTAATTATAATAATTAAGCAATGAATGCAAATTGCATTGAGTGGAATTAGATGAGCATGCCCTCTAAAAGAATCTGGTTCAGTTCAACCAGCAACTTCTATACTTATGCACTCACCATGCATATTTATAGGATTCTATGCAATGAATGAACTATAAATTAATAAATGTTCAAATGTATGATGTCCCCATGAGATAGCTATGCAGCAGAACAGGAAATGTTGTTGAAAACAGCACATATGCTGTGGATGAACCGCATGAGAGGCTCTATACGGCATAAGGGATGAAAAAAAAACACTATCGGTCATAAATGTAGTGGCTTTATACATAAACAATATTTTATTATGTGATGTAAGAAATAATCAAATACTAACGATTGCAAAAGTCTCGGCTTGACTGAATTATTAATTTTATTATGTAAAACTAAATATACCTAGAAAGAATTACCTAAAAGTATAATTAATAAAGTGAAGAGAAAGAAATTTTAAATATAAGAGATAATGGAAAAAATGTTCAGATAAAAACATATCATTTAAGCTTACAATTTATTAGGGTGAATAACAAAGTACTGTTAAATGTGACCACTTGAGAAAAGCCTACAACAACCATGTTCACGCAATTGATGACGGTATATATGTATAATTGGCTTACAAACCTACCTCTTTGTTATTTCTTATTATATTTTTCGAAATGGTGAAATCAGATAGACAAGCTAATAAGATGACAAGAAGAGGAAGATTATACTCGATAGAACGTTGATTATATCGCAAATCTTGTTTCTAATTTGGAAAAATGGATTAACTGCAAGTTGTAGTGCAACGAATTTTTTTAAGCATAAAAACCTAACACACTAAATGTGCATGTATTTTAACACAAGACTCTATTCAGTTGATGTTATTATCTATTTCGTTAAATGAATTGTAGGTATATATTTACTGGTAAATAGAACAGTTGTTGATGTGTTGCAAAATACGAAATTAGGGATGTCTGCAGAAGCGATGCGGTAGATTGATAAAAATACTATGAAGAAAGCCAAATATACTTCCAAACTTATTGAGTTCCTCCTGTTGCTATACTTCTAAACTGTTTTTCATCATAATATAAAAAAAGGTCTCTTGCTTGAAACTCTTTCTACTATGAGAAATCGTTAAAAAAAATTGAATTTCCCAGTCTTTGCTGCCTTATGTATTGTGAACCAAAAAAGAAAAGAAAAACAATAGGTTTGACAAGTTTAGATTATAAAAATAGATGACATTTACGCTTTTAAGGCGAATGAGGAAATAAAAAGGTTTTTCAATAATGAAATTTTTACACCTACATATTTAATATGGAGAAAAGTAATTAGGAAAAATTTGTCTAAATATCGTTCTAGTCATAGAGAAGACAAAGAATAAGGAAATGCTTTTAATTTTAATAATGGTAGGTGTAAGTGTAAGGAAACAAAAAAAAATTGACAAAAATACTATGTCCTACTACAAATTTTCATATTGATATCGTTTCTTACAACCTTACTTGGTAAGATCAACGTATTTCTACTCATTTTTACGAGTGCCCAAACAATCATGTTACTTTCTAATGGCATTTTCCGTTTCTTCTCCTTTTCACCCACAAAACCAAAATGCACCATGACTAGGGAAAGCGGAAAAAAGTGGAAGGAGATAAAAAAATTAATAAAAAAACTCATTATCGATAACTATAAGAAATTAGTGAATGAATAAAGAGAAAAATTGTTATTGTGCATAAAAGCGGAATCACCTGCACGTACTGTTCCAATCTGACACTATAAAATGCGTTAAAGAGAATAACTATAAAATGAGGTAATTTAATAAACGACCAACTAAATAAATTTGTTTAAAAAATGGAAATACATTTAATAGAGACACGTAGAAAATTTAGTATATGAAAATATATGTAAATAATATATGAAGAAAAGGAAGCAAATAAGAGGAGGAATAACTAAAACTAGTTTCCTATATAGCAAAGGATCTGTCAAAAGATGCAAAACATGCGACAAGATTCATTATTTCTCGAAGTTTGTTCACATCCGCTAAAAGAAACAAAAAAAATAGTATGTAATAATGTCTGACGTTTTTGTGCTTAAAATATTAATTAAGCTTTGTAGTAGTGGCTAATTCTAAAGGTGAAAATATGATGAAGGTGACAAAGAGATTGTGAAATCGTCGATGAAACGACGTGGAGAAATACAAATAATTGCAATCACATAAAATCGTCAAGTACTGTGATGTGAACATAGCTTCGATTTCTAATTTCATTCAAAGAAAAAGGAAAGAAACACTGATAAGAAGTGAATACCGGAAAATTGGAAAATCTGGAGTCAAAAGCCATCACACTCTGAGAGACGTTTTCAACAAATACAGCCCTAAACAAAACCAGATGTTTCAGTGAGAGATGAAGTTAAGGGGAAATTGTAGAGAACGAGGCTAATGCATTAACCTAATTCACAAAACCTACAATACTGAAATTTTACTATACTAGATTACAAAAGAGAGAAGAAAAGATAGTATAAAGATGAAGCAGACGTTTAGTACGAATCTCAATTGACAAGAAAACTTAATAATAGAGTTTATGTAATATTATTTAAATGATGAGAAATGCTACTAATTAGTCTAATCAAGATGAACAGAAATACTTTCTCAATTGCTCCTCATATATAAACTTTTTACTATTGTTTTATAACTGATCTATAACACAAAACTGACTCGGAACTCATGAAAATTTCATAGTGGAAAAATAACAAAAAAAAGACAAGAATCGAAATGGATATTTACTAAAAGCGTTTAATAAACCCTATATGATGATAAAAAGAAATGAAAAAATTTATACAGCAACTGATGAAAAATAAATAAAAGAGAAGAAAAAGCTAATAAATCACGCTACATATCTCCATTGGTGCAAAACTATAATATTTAATATTTACTAATTATATACACACATTATATAGAACATATGAAAATTAATAAGGATAATAATATTAATCGATTGTATATTAATGACGAAAAGAAATATTGTAACAAAAAATTATTCAGAATAACTCAAGAAAAGACAGAGAAAATACATTTTCTGTCAGCACATCACAAATATAAAGGAATATTCAACTGAACATGATAAAAAAAACAGATCCATGGAAGATCATTTCAGACATGGCTCTGTAAACTGATAAACACATGTCTTGAAATATTATTTAATACCAAATCTCATGAATTTTTGAGAAACTTTATGTAACACAGAAAGACAAGAGAGAAAATCAGTAATATATATTTCTACTCATTTGATATCTCAATCGTTAATAGTTCCATTTTCTCTGGTATTTTTCCCTTCCATCAACTTTTCACGTGTGTCATAAATTATGTCATAGCCATGATGAATTTCTTGCTATCACGGCAAATAATTTACAAGACACCCAATTCATATACAGCGAATTAGTGTTACTATGCTCCTATGTATCAATAAGATACTTTTCTTTTCTTCCCAAACAAAGATACTGCATTTGAGAACTATAATGAAACATTACTATAAAGAATTACTGAGGCATCATTTGAAGGAAAGAGAAGGACATGGATTCACAGAGAAAGAGAAATATTTTAAATTTGTAGATAATTAAGGCATACTTAAGAATTGTAGTATTGCGCGCTCATATCATCCATTATCACTGACAAAGTATGTGCTTTTGGTGAATGAAGTTTATTGCATTGCCTATTTGTCACTGTTGTCAAGCCTATAGCTTTTTGAATGAAGTTGATTTTGGGCATTGATTTTTATATAGATTCGTGATATGGACGGAGAACTATTGAAGAACCTGTTATAAAAATGCTTTCAATTAATACATATATTAGGAAGACACATTCTTTAATTATTATTTATGTGAACCAAATTTTTGGGTATAATTATGTAGCCAAATAATTTAGGTACACATGCAGGTATTTTACATGAAATACAAACATTATTTCCTTCCTTTCAATGAATTCCACAAGTACTTAAAACTGATTGAGTATTTCAAAAATATATATGCATTATGTATAAGCTTTATGAGTAATGTTTGTCGAATTTCTTTCAAAAGATACCTATTGTTGGAACATGGAACAGCATTATAAAGTTTTATGTACTCTGAGTAGTTGTACATATAGTGTCAATCTAATAAGCATTTATTTCATTTAGCCAAACGTACAATTGTTTCTTTCAAAGGAAAATATATATAAAATAAGAAATGATTAGCTCAATATATTAATTGTGATAACCATAATTTAAAAAAAAAATGCACTAAACGGATTTAATGAAGATGAACTTTGAGGCTATCCGGAAAGAAAAGGATGCGAGACAACTGAAAAACGAGGTGGACACACACAACTGATAAATAAATCTTATCTAATATAGTAAAAAAGGAGAAAAGTAATATAGTTAAAAAAAAGAGATTACTAGTGGAAAAAATAGAGAAACAATAATCGTCACAATATAATTGTTACATGTTGTTAACCACATCTCAAGAAATAACAAAACATTATAAGGATTATTGAAAAATTCCTACACAAAATAATTAATGTTTCAAGTGGGCAAAATGGATATATTTCTATATATTTATAAGTTGTATGAAATTATACCGCGGAGAAGCTTAATTTGTGTAGATCAAGTTCTGTAATTTACAATTATTATAATTATTATTGCTATACCTACTAATCAACAAGAAGAGCTAAAAGGAAAAGAATTATATTAATTAATGTGATTGTTATCCCTCCTTCCATTCCAGAACACGAAGAATTTTTAAGTAGATGAGCGGAAGAGAAGAAAAATCATTACAAAAAGTAGTTGGGCCTAAGAAATGCTAAATAAATAATTACAATAATTACAACACAATTACATGACCCATTACCTATAATTACTTACAAAATAAATAAAACATTCTGAAAACAAACTATTCTGTCTTTTTCTAACTTTTACGCCAAACAAACGCATGATCAAACTCTTTTCTATACTTCATTTTTCATACTTCTACTCTATCTCTCAAGCATACACCCACATTTAAAGAACCACTCTTAGGTGAAAAAACCTCTTTAGATTATGAAATGCTGAAAATTTGAAACACCAATTTTTACATGAACAACTAAAAGATTGCTAATGGATACCTTTTCATAAATGATATAAAGATGACTTGAATTATAGTAAATTTTACTAAATGAAATGCTAATACAATTTCCTAACAAATAATGTAATATCTGAAATATGTAAAATGCTTTGTTAAATGTAAATGTTGTGTATACATAGATTATATAAGAATACACACAATTTTAATGAAGATTTTTGCCAAACTCTTTTCTTTCACCATCACAGAGTCCTCCAATTGGTGAATGTAACAGATTTTTCCTTCGAAAAACTTGCACAATTTTTAGTACACGGAGCGCTATTGACATCTGGCAGAAATTTTACGAAATACATTTGTTTTGACGTCTTCGCATTTTGCATTTTCGCAGTCAAATCCAGAAAATTGCAATTTCCCGTAAATTTTACTTACATCTTCAATACGGTGGAATCTTGAGTTTATCATATGTAATTTGAGTCAGCATAGAAATAGCTTTGCCAAAAAACTTCGGTGTATTATTTGTAAGACGTTGAGAGCATCGCAAAGAGTCTGCAAAGCTCCCGGATATTGTTATGGATATTGGTGAATTATTGGCTTACAAGGTATTTTTGTGTCCCTTTCTTTCTTACAAAAGCTCATCGATATCGTGATCTGTTCCATTTTGCAGCCTGAGCAAACGCCAAAACGCAAGAGCGATGATGATCCTGATACGGACGAGACGGAGCCTCCAACGCCGGAACGCCCTTCGAAGCTGAGAAAGACGTCTTATGATTTTCCCGATACGCCCACTCGTGATCAGAATGCAGCACGGGAAGAGTCTTTCAGGCAGCCTGGCCAGGCGGAAATAGAGAAACTGAACATCATGCGATATGTGGAAACTGAAGCTGCCGATGTGGACATCCTGAATGAGGCGGGCTTAAGGAAATTGGTGCTGATCTTCGAGAAGCGTGTTCTGAGGAATCAGGAAATGAGAATTAAGTTTCCGGAGAATCCCGAGAGATTCATGGAGACGGAACTTGAGTTGCACGAAGTGTTGCAGCAACTGCATGCCATAGCCACTGTTCCGGACTTGTATCCTCTCTTTGTGGACTTGCACGCTGTGCCGAGCCTTCTCGAGCTTCTAGCGCACTCTAATACAGACATCAGCGTGACGGTATGCGATTTGCTACAGGAACTCACGGATGTGGACATTTTGCACGAGAGCATCGAAGGAGCGGAAGTGCTGATCGAGGCGCTGAGGAAGCAGCAAGTCTGCGCGCTTCTGGTGCAAAATCTAGAGCGCATGGACGAGACGGAGAAGGAGGAGTCTAAGGGTGTTCATGATACTCTAGGCGTGTTTGAGAACCTCATGGAGATCAAGTCGGAAGTGTGCGTGGAGGCGGCAAATCAGGGTCTGATGCAGTGGATCCTCAAGCGGCTAAAGGCCAAGCTGCCCTTCGATGCCAATAAGCTATATTGCAGCGAAATTCTCTCGATTTTGATTCAAGAGAGCAAGGAGAATCGCCTGCTGCTCGGCACTCTTGATGGAATCGATGTGCTGCTTCAGCAACTGGCCGTGTACAAGCGCCACGATCCGGCCACAGTGGAGGAGCGGGAATTCATGGAGAATCTGTTCAACAGCATGTGCTCGGCTTTGATGGCAGCTGAAAATAGGGAGAAGTTCCTGAAAGGCGAAGGTTTGCAATTGATGAACCTGATGCTGCGGGAGAAGAAACTCTCTCGCAATGGGAGTCTGAAAGTGTTGGATTACGCCATGTCTGGTCCCGATGGCAAAGACAATTGCAACAAATTCGTTGAGATTCTGGGCCTGCGGACGATCTTCCCGCTCTTTATGAAGACCCCGAAGAGAAACAAGAAGAGACTGCTGGGCACGGATGAATATGAGGAACACGTGTGTTCGATTATCGCCAGCATGCTGAGGAACTGCAAGAGTGGCCAAAGACAGCGGCTTCTGTCCAAATTCACAGAGAATGACTTTGAAAAGGTGGAGCGTCTGATGGAGTTCCACCTGAAATACTTGGCCAAAGTGGAGGCGATTGACGAGAAGCTCGAGGAAAACCCGGACGAAGTGGAGGATACAGATGCAAACTATCTCACCCGGCTATCGGGTGGTCTTTTCACACTCCAGCTTGTCGATTATATCATCTTGGAGATTTGTGCCACCAACGAAACCGTGAAGCAACGCGTTCTCAAGATCCTCAACATGAGGGGTCAGGAGATGAAGATCATCAGGCAGGTGATGCGAGAGTACGCGGGCAATCTAGGCGACGCCGGAGACAAGGAGTGGCGCGATCAAGAGGAAGCGCACATCATTCAGCTTGTGGATAGATTTTAGAAGAATAAATATGCTTTTCGTACTAACTGTAATCTTTTAATGGAAACTATTAGTCTCTTGACTCTTGGAACGTTTCCTGGTGAAACCATTGCAGAAGTCTAGCGCTGACATTGCTCGTTTCCCTTCGATTCCCACCGAGAGGACGTTCAAGTAAGTTTGCTGAGAACACTTCACAATCAAACACTTCTCCTGCTTGTGATATATGAAAGACCCCGATGGTTTGTCTTTAAGTGCACTCAACTGGTCAGGAGACTTGATTTCGCGAACGGAAACTGAGAGTAGTTTGATGGGTATCCCTTGCCAATTCGTCATGAGATGCTTGAAAGAGAAAAATGCTCGGTAGAGATTGAAGATATCAGTGGAAGTTAAATCGCTCCATCGCACGGTTTCTGGCTTCTTATCCACCTTTGGAGCATACGTGACACCTTCTAAGGATTGTGGCTTGGCGTTGTTCAAGGACGTCTCCAGATCTTGTAGACAGTCTAAGAGCAAAGATCCTCCAACGTTTGCCAGGCACGCATGAAGTTGTGGCATAAGCACGTCTGATTCCACCGAGACTCTTCTTTGGGCCAAAATCTCACCGATATCAAAATGCTTCGGCTTAATCATCATGATACTAACTCCAGTTTCTGTGTCACCTGCCATGAGGGCATGAATAATAGGAGCTGCTCCTCTCCAACGCGGCAATAAACTTCCATGAACATTGATCATTCCTCTGAAAAGAAACACGCATGAAATATTTCGGCTTCTTATAACAATTTAGAATTTCTTACAGTGGAAAGGACTTGATGAGAGATGTACCTAATAGATGACCGAAGGATACCACCACTCCGATGTCGAATTGCCCGCTAATCTCCTGTTCATTCACTGGCCATGGAAACACTTCCAAATTCTCTCTCTCAGCAAAGTTCCTCACGGGATTCGCCTGTAATTTCACCTGAGTCACCACACATAGCTTCTGCACGAAAGATTTTCGCTTGCTAAACAAACAGAATACACATGTGAATTGGGAGGATCCGAAGAAAAATCTGATTTCAGACAAAACTTACTACTCTTCTGTGATCAATCTTAAACTTGCCAATGAGAATTTATCACTTCCAAAGAATAACACCCTCAGTTGATTGTAATTCAATGTGGAGAAACGTCTGGAGAGTCTAAAAATCATTTCTATGTCTTTTTCAACTAATTAAATACATTTCTAGAGAAATAAAACCAAAATTGTAAACAAATGCTGTCGCCACCATTGGGGTTATGTGGTGACATTCGGGACGACGTTTTAGTACAGAGGTTTAGTACGTGAAAAATGGCGTCGATGTTGAGTCGTGGTGCTGCTATCGCTGAAGGTTTTCTGCGAAAATCTGGACCCAGAGTACGTAAAATATTTATAAATTGCAGAAAAAGACACACTGCCATCCTATCTTTACTATACCAGTTCAGTAATGTCAGGAATTTGTGATTTTCTACGAGAAAATGGTGTTTTTTCGTTCCCTTGAATTGACGTAACCGTGCGAAAAAGTCATCCAAAATTCCCCCCTTGTCGAGTTATGCAATGAAACACTACTATTTATAATCAAATCAATGAAGCATATTTTGTTGACACTCAATTTAGTGTGATTAGCGTCATGGGATCAGAGGAAATTGAATTTGCCCGCGAGTTCAGTGAGTGCCTCAGTCAGTGACTCACCCGACTCCTGACCTTGCGCTCGCGAACGGGAAATTGCCTGCAGTTCTATTTGACCTAATCTTATCAGAAAGAGTTGAATGCGAAAACATAATTCTCTCTTCAGGTCCTGACCTTTGCCAATCAGAGGAGGAACTTGAACGTCCAGGAACATGTCTCCTACACTCTTCTGAACGAGGCCGGCATTCCCACTCCCAAATTCGGTGTGGCGACTTCGGCGGCTGAGGCGTCTAAGATCGCCAATGACCTGAACACCAACAATCTCGTTCTGAAGGCCCAAGTGCTGGCGGGAGGGCGAGGAAAAGGACACTTCAAGAGTGGCCTGAAGGGCGGCGTGAGAGTCGTTTACTCGTGAGTGCACAACTTGTGTTAAGATAATCTCTGAAAGATTTCATTTGTTTCTATTTACTCTAGAGATAATTTGAGTGGATTTTGAGGTCATTGGCTTTGAATTCAGAGATCCGAATTGAAAGTCTAATCCAATCTGTGTTTCTGTTGTTTCACAGGAGCGATGAGGCTCAGAAACTCTCCTCCAAAATGATTGGTGAGAAACTAATCACGAAGCAAACCGGAGCTGTTGGAAGGATTTGCAATTCAGTTATGGTAGCGGAGCGAAAGTTCCCTCGGAGGGAATTTTACTTTGCTGTCATGATGGAACGTGCATTCAGTGTGAGTTTCTTCGACAAATTTCACGCATAATTTCGCGACGTTATCATAAATGATTTCCTCCTCAGGGTCCAGTGCTTATTGCGTCCTCCCAGGGCGGTGTGAACATTGAGGATGTGGCAGCTGAAGATCCCAGTGCCATCATCTATGAGCCCATTGACATCACTGCTGGTTTGACCAAGGATCAGGCTCTGAAGGTGATCAAGAAGGTTGGACTGGAGGCAGTGGCCGATAATGTTTCGCAGGTGCTGCTCAACATGTACGACTTATTCCTCAAGAAGGACGCCCTCCTTATTGAGATTAATCCCTTCGCTGAGGACGCCGGAGAGACATGTGAGTCATTGTCCAATGATCTGGAGAAAGAGATTTCTCTAGAATAATTTTTCGTGATCTAATATCTTCATCTCTTTCATTCGTGCATTTCCATGAATACTTTAGGTTCGCAATGTGAGTATTGAAGCCCAGTTTCTACGATATGTTACTTGTTGAATGGGTTGTGGCGTCTCTCGGGGGTAGAAATAGCAAAATTGCACAAAATTGAAAGTCGACTGAGAGGTGTCGGGTTCTCTTCATTAATACCATAGAAATTTCACTTTCTCACACTAACCATTAGTGTCTTTCTCGCGATCAATGATTCAATATTTGCCTAGCAGATGCAAATGCTGCACAGCAAATAGATGTGTTTGAATTTGATTGCACCATTGAGGTTCTCAATGTCTGAGACACATTTGCACTCTTCACTGAGTTTTGCAATGATGGACTTCATTGGTCATAATTAATTGTTATTTGTCCTGAATGTGCTTAAAATTTATGACAGCGAGTGCAGAAAGTATTCAAAAATTAATAATAAAAAATGCATATATTTTGTATAGACGCCCACCAATGTCAGTGGGAATATGAATATGTTTTAGAAAGTAAATATTTATTCGGATATAAATTTCCATCAAATATTTATGTAGGAGAGTGGTTTTTGAGTGCTTTCTGCAAAATGTCGCATCTTTTCGATGACTGACGCAATTTTTATTGTGATTTTCATGTAGATTTTGCGCTGGACGCAAAGATGCGTTTCGACGATAACGCTGAGTTTCGTCAGAAGGATCTGTTTGCACTGCGCGATTGGACCCAGGAGGATCCGAAGGAAGTGGATGCGGCCAAGTTTGACTTGAACTACATCACTTTGGACGGAACAATTGGGTGTCTCGTGAACGGCGCCGGCTTGGCTATGGCCACGATGGACATTATCAAGTTGTACGGCGGAGATCCGGCTAACTTCTTGGACGTGGGCGGCAGTGCCAGCGCTCAGGCTGTGAAGGAGGCCTTCAAGATCATCACGGCTGATCCCAACGTTCACGCCATCCTCGTGAACATCTTTGGTGGCATCATGAGGTGTGATGTGATCGCCGAGGGTATTATTGCAGCTGCAACGGAGCTCAATCTCAAGACTCCCATCATCTGTCGGCTACAGGTGAGTGGGAAGCTTATTTGCACTTCCTTCCAGACAACTAATCGAGTTGTGATATTGAAGGGAACGAACGTGGATGAGGCAAAGGCACTGATTAAGAATTCGAAACTGCGAATTTTGCCTCGTGACGATTTGGATGAAGCTGCCAATTTGTCTGTTCATCTCGCCCAAATTGTTCATTTGGCGCGCGAGGTGAACTTGGACGTGAATTTCGAGATACCAGATTACCACAAGTAATTTACAACAGCATAAACATCCTCAGGAGTATAATTCCACGTAAGAAATACTATATTAAATTATACATTTGAATAACATCCATTGCGACGCAGGAAATTCTCCAGATTTAGTAGAATCTTTCACAAAATGCTCTGAATTCTTGAAACAAAGAATGGAGGAAAATTAACTACATGTTGTTGAATGATGTCAATAATAATTTATTTTTCGTTTCTGTGCATATTCTGTTGAAAATTATAAATATGCAAATCGAATAAATCGAGTTCTTAGCTTAAAAGAAAAATGCACACCAAATGAAGATGCACACAAGAGGTTAACGTGAGTTAGAGAGAGAGAGAGAGAAAATTAAATAAATTATATTTAATCGAAGAGTTACACGTACAAAAAATACTCTTTATTTCTTACTATAAAATCTACATTAAAAGCTAATAAGTTGGTGAATTTGACGTGAATGGCAGTTACAATTATGTACTTTCCTCTGCATATAAATTCATACAAGTTTTTATAAATAATTTCAAATTCTCCGCTGCACGAAGATAAATCGCGTGTCTCATGTTAAGAGTGATTTTGGTAACGAGTTTGTCTTATGTTCCTTTTGAGTACAACTTGGTGCGTCGAGGGAAAGAGTGTGGAGGGGAGAGTTCTAGATTCTCAGGTTGGGATTCGTGTAGCGCACGTACTTGAGGAGAGCGTCGTTCTCCTCGCACACCCATGGCTTCACGTGGTGGCAGGCCACATCGTGCCAGTGAACGCCGTCATTGTAGAAGTTGTTGAGCACAGCCAGGCAGTTCTCGCGGGCGCCTCCTTGCTGCAGTTCGCGGTTGTCGGGCTGGGGGAGGCCGATGCCGCCGCCCTCGGACCAGTCGTTCTGCTGACGATCGTTCGTGGGTGCGAGCTTCTGCAGTTCAGATGTCCAGAACCATCCGTTGACGGATGTGGGCTGCAGATCAGGCCTCTCGCAGCCGGGGAAGTCGCAGATGCGTCCACTGGTCCAGATGTATTTGATCTGGGGATGTTAGGGAAAGGGAGGGTTTTGGTTAGTTGATGGAATTTCTTATACATTCATCCCATTGTCACATGTAGATCGACATACAGCAAGAGAACGGTAAGCGATAATTAAAATTTTAGTTCAATATTTGCATTTTTTTTCAGTGTTCTAATTGATCAATTAGTATTGCGGAAAGTCAGGATTTCCCATAATCTAGTTGAATCGGGTGGCTTTTCGCATTTCATGCACTAAAGCGAATGAATTCTACAAGAAATAGTTCATTCTCACGGTACATTTGCGTACAAATGTGAAGATTTTCACTATTTCGAGACACTCCTGTGAGAGATGATCTCAATGTAAAGTGGGAGGAAGGGCGCTCACGAGACGCTTTCTAATGGCAATTAAGATCATCTGAACAAATCAGCGTGTACAATTTGTATTGTGTCTTGGTGCGCAAGTTTATCGGATGTGGGAGGGTGATTAAAGATGGTAATTTGGCGAAAATGCGTGTGAAATTCCTTATTCTCGCATCTTCGCCGGTCATCTCGAAGTGTGCGACGCGATCTGTGTGTATTGTCTCAAGTGATGCACGGTCTAGCGAAATGGGGGTCACTGCTGTGAGTGCAAAAGTGGCCGATAGTGTGCTTAATGTATTTGGAGAAAGTGAAATTGAATGTCTGCACGACACTCCTTCAATGTACAGTGTGACGTGGGTATTTTCCTTTGCACAATTTTACGCGAAGAAGAAACTTTTGCAGTGTGTTGCTTACGATGGGAGAGACTTTGTTGATTTCGTGAACTTGGACGTGACTCGAATGGGTGAAATTGGGTGAAGATTGACGAGACTCACCTTTGCCTCCACGATCTTCTGCTTAACCCACTCGTTCTCGGGACTGGTTTCCAGAGACACGGAGTCCATGCACATTTGGCGACAGAAGTTCCTCACGGCGAGCCAGTCCTTCTCCTTGCCTTGGAAGTTGGGGTCCTTCCAGGAGAAGTAGTACCTTTTGATTAAGAGTGTGTGATTAGAATTTCTGGCGCGAACAGCAGAGATTGCGCGTGAGAATATTCTCACCCTTTGCCGTCGGGAGCTCTCTCGTGGATTATCCTCTGGGCGCATCGGTCGGGCACTGGCGGCTCCAGGATGCGTCCGTTCTTAAACTGGGCCACAGTGCCGCCCACAAAGGTGGCCACAAGACACAGAATCACAAACTTTTGCATTTTGTCTACACAATCAGGTATTCTCTCTCCCCTGAAAATAAATTATGCTCAATAAGGTCAATTTACATTCAACGCGCACCTTCTTCGAGTGGGTGTTTCCATCTTCCCGCGAGATTTTAGGTGAATAACCCACTGTGCGGAGATTCATGAACTCCTCATTCACATTGAACTTGAGATTTGTTAAATCTCTCCACACTGGCTCACAAAATTCCACTTCTCGATAAAACGAACAAGCAATAACTCTTCCAAACCTACCTGGAGTGGATTAAAGGGACGCAAAGGGACGATCGAGAGAGGCACAAGAAGAACACACTATAGAAATTGAATGTTGACCCAGAGGCAAATACTCAGCGACTGACAAAAAACTCCATCATCACCACCCTAATATATAAGTGAAGAGCGAGTCAAAACATGAGGCTGGCCAAGAAGTGATTTCTGGTGGGGATACAGCCATCCCAGAGGCTCTCTGTTCCACAAAATTTTCACGTTTTGCCTTCATCGTTACAAAACAAGTGCGAAGGAATTTTTTCCATCATCACCTGCCACTTTTTGGCCTGGTGACAAAGCACATCGCATTTAATTGTAATTTATTGGAGAATTTCGTCAGGTCCGACGAGAGGTGGCAAAGAAAAAGAGAGACTCTTGAACCTGACCAACAAATGGAAAAGGGTGGGACATTGAGGTATTTTGTGGCTTTTCCGGTGAAATTATTAATTGAAATGGTCAAATTGAGTGGAAGTTCTTGGGATGGTTCACTTCTCTTGGTAAAGCGAAGAAACTTGTTTGTCAGCCAAAACGAGTTTTAATTCTTCGCTTTTTACCTCAAATATCTTTGGAGTGTGACTTGAGGAAGGGCTTCCTGTACCCCTGACGATAGGGAATCAAAGACTTCTTGTGCAGAGAGCAGCAAAGAATTCGGATTAAACTGATTATTGAAAAGCATTTTCCATTTTTATATAAAATTGTGAATTTTTAATATGCAAATCGACGCTCGTCAACACAACAATTTATATTTCAGTCAAGTACATGAACCCAAAAATAGCGTAGATCTAAAAATCCATTATGAAACATATCACTTGTCTATGCAATAGATTATGTATTAGATTGGGAATAAGAAAAAATTCTATAACCGTGTAAAAATGACGTGGATTCTTAAGGAATGCTTTTATTTGAAACATCAACAGTTAGACTAATCTTGTGTCGTTCCAAATATTCCATATTCAGTAGAAAGTCTATTGACCCATTTTTAAACACTACAATTTCTCTATCACCTGGATACTAACCTTGGCCACGAAACGCATTAAATAGACCGTCTCTCGAGTGGTCACAGAAAAAAAGTACACATCGAGCGGATATTGACTTCTCTTCCCTTGTCGCTTCGGAATACAGCTGGGGAGAAAGCTTCTTCGCTTTGTTAGCTAATGACGCAAAGAAAACCCATAAATTATGGCTTCCTCTTGAAGATAAATACACTCTTGCATTCTTCTTGATTTCTTCACTCTGCGCCGTCTTCGCTTCAGACCATCAATGGAGCATTTTGCCCTCCGCGCTTTTACATCTCACATGATCGCAATTCTATGAATGAAGTCAGCTTAGGTGCCAAAAAAGCCAGAGCCTGAAGGAGATATGAAATGTTATGCAATGTCGAGACTTTTCATTAGTTTACGACACACACGCTATAATTAAACATTTTCGGCTGTTTGGAGACATAAAGAAGAAGAAAGAGAGAAAGATTGGTCGTTTGAGGTAAAAAAGAAGAGCCTCCGCGACCATTATTCACGATCATGACCAATTCACGCTGGTCACACGTTAATGGAGACGCTTTTTTCGCGCAAGATGCCAAAGGAGGAAATATGTATGGAATTCTACGGCCGCAAGTGCAATATTTACAATGGAGAAAGTATTGGCAGACGGACGAGACGATAATTTGTGCCGCGAAGACGTGATAAAAAAGACAACATTTTTTCGCCAAAACGCTCGTGTGCAGTCGCGCAAGGTTTCCACGTAAAAATGGTCATCGCGTCTCGTGATTGATTGATAATTGCTCAGGTCGCGAAGACAATAATGAGCTATTTGTTAGCGTTTTGTTCACACAAGAAGTGCTATAAAAATTGGGTGAAGGCGTAATATTAATTTGTTGCTTCGCATGTTTTGGCTCGTCTTGATCGTGCGTGTAAAAGTGCGCGCGCGCGCGCGCAATTGAATTGCTATGTAACGGAGGGACGCAGAGGAACCAACAATTGTATAATAGATGACGATTGTCTGCCTTTGGACATTCTGTCCAATTTCGATCACGTTCCATGCTAATCAAATAAAAATTCAGGCGCATTGCGAAATGGGGAATTTTTCTGCGAACAACATCGCATTCTCGAAGGTGAAGTCACTCACCAAGTCATCTAATGCATTATCGTGTCTTTCGTGTTTTGCCCAGAAAACCAACGCCGCTGACTTTCCTCGGTGAGTGACGAGTTTGTGAGAATTTGTCCCACAATTTGCCTATTTTTACAATGTTTCGCGAAATAAAATAGCAATATATAAAGTGTCTTCCTCCCATCTCCTATGCGATACACAACCGTGATTATTGTACTTTGGCCGCTTCCCTTTCTATTCTCTGGCCGATTCTTCTTCATTGTCAGACTCTCCATTCTCCTCATCACTGGCCTCTATGTCGCCACACTCCAGCTTCTTCAAGTGTGTCTTCAGTACAATGCACTTTGTCAGTATACAATCACAGGGAACGGGATGATCCACTTCGTCGGAATCAATTTGATCCAGTTGAAGAGTGTATCTGCAAAGCAATTCCTCAATTAAACATTGCCTTCAAATGGGCACAGGTGGATTTTCTCACCCTCTCGCCGATGATGGATTCCTCTTGATGGACAGCTCGTAGGCCATCGCTTCATTGGGCTCCACGGTGAGAATCGACGCATCCGGCAGCACGATGACGGTTTGCTTCCAATGAGTCGCCTCAGCTTTGGGACTCGTGCTCAATGTTATGGGAAGATTGTCGCCGATTGAGGGAAAGGTGCATTCAAACCAAATGCAGACACCTTGGAAATTTCCATATTCTTGCGAAAGCATCAGAAATGTCTCACTTAAATCATCTACATCTTCTCGAGTCACGGTCTTGAGATCCAACCAGGATAAGAGCTCTCCAGAGTGGAGCAAAAATGATGGATCCAGCTGAATTATTTCAGGCTTGCAGGATTTCTGTGCTCGCAACTTCTGGCCAAATGTTGACATTTTCACACCCGAGAACTCTTCCCACAGCTCAAACATCTGGGGCAGCTGACAAGGAGCTGTGTAGATGGACGCTGTGTCTGGGAACATGAGCCCGTCCTTCTTCAGGAACTTGTCTCGAGCGAAGAGGTAGGATTCCAGCATACTCTCGTGAACCAGGTAGAATCCCATCCATTCCGATACAATTATGTCCACACTGTCAACACCCACTGGTAACTTAAAGTCCTCCACTTTCCCATGGAAGACCTCGACAATCTCTTCAAAGTCGTTCTCAGTCACGAGTTCCTCAGCCAAGCTGGCCACATTGCTGGCCTCGATGGCAAACACTCTCTTCGCTCCAGCTTGGGCGCAAAACAGAGACAAAATCCCCGTTCCGCATCCGATGTCCATCACGATTTTGTCCTTAAATAGTTCCTCATTCTGCAGAATGGCCTCACGGTAGGCTCCTGTCCTCGATCTATCCAGGAGCATCAATTCATGAACCTACGAGCACATATTGTTTATATTTTGCATGGAACTCTGAAGAAATCAGTCTGTATTTTCATGGAATTACCTCTAAATTTTCATAACTCTGGAAATATTCGTCCACATACGTTTCCTTGCTTGTCTCTTTCATAATTTGCTGATGATTCTCGTCAGGAAATGCAGGGAAAATGGAAAAATACACCGGCGCAAATGCAAATACACAAAAAAACACGTGCAAATGACATGCAATCGTTTGCAACTTCACAATGCGAAGCGGCGAGTGATGCGCGCCTAGTAGAAAATGTTTGAACTACGAAGTGAAGCAAACATTGTGAAATTGCGCGGAAATTATTGAAAAGGAGCAGATATAGTGCACATAATAGCAATATTAAGTGCTGATATTGGTGCAGAAGTGGTAAGTTCAGTCTGTGCAGTATGAAACAGTCCAGATTAGCAGTGTAATACCGCTGAAATGATGAAATAAAGGCCCGCTGAAAATTCCTCAGTGCTCCGCTAGAGGTGCTAATGTCAAGCGGGCCCGGAGTCTCGTCGATTTCTCGCTGAATCTGATCGATTTGCTTATTTTTTGGCCAGGAAGCGTCATGGGAGGCCGAAAATGTGTGGTTTCCGGCTGTCCATCGCACTCGGCGAGGAAGGAGGATCGCGGAGTGACATTTCACAAGTTTCCTCACAATCCCAAGACACGCATTCAGTGGCTGAACATGTGCAAAATGGATCCGACACTGTTGCCCCCGAAGAGCATGAATGTGTGTTCTCGCCACTTTCGTCAAGTGGACTTTCAGACATTTAAGGGCACCAAATGCCTCCTGAAAATTGGAACCTATCCGACAATCTTTCCCTGGGGCGTGACGCCAGATCTACCGACAGAGGGCGATCAGAAGAAGCTAAACGCTAAAGAGACAGGGACTTCGAAGGCTCCTGTTGAGAAGGGAGAGGATAGTCTTAAGCCTCCTCTCACCGCTGAGCAGCTTAAGCTGAAGAAGAGCAGTGCAGTGAAGAGATCAGCCAGTTTGGAGAATGTGAATAAGCAGCCACAGAAGAAAATCCTTAGAAAGGCATCAGACTCGAGTATTGCCAAAGAGGAGAAAATCGCGTCGCCGACAAAGAAGTTTGACCCGGTGACTTGCTTCACGCCGGGGACGCGCATCGAGGCGCAGGATTTCAATAACGTGTGGCATTCGGCAATGGTCATGGAGGTGGATAATGCCGACCGAGAAGTGCTCGTTCATCTGGAGATCAAGGATCCGGAGAAGTCCACTGGGTGAGTTATATTCTCAACTTTTTGGGATTGCTTATAATACTATGTATTTGCAGGATTGTCGACGAGTGGATTCCAATGGATAGCAGTCGCTTGAGACCAATGCAGGTGAAGAGTGAGGTTGACAAGCAGAAACCTCTGGTGACATACACAATTGGTGAGAAGATTCACGCTCGTTGGAATGATGCTCGCAAGTTTAGGGCTACGGTTACGCAAGTTCTGGAGAACAACACTTACGAAATACTGTTTGACGACGGCATTTCGAAGGTGGTGACCACAAAGGAGATGTGGAAGATTCGTCCCAGTGTGAACAATTTATTTGGCAAAGCCCGTCCTCGTCCGAAGAAACGTCCAAAGCTGGGAAAAATGCGCATTCCGTCGCGATACTACAGAAAGAAGGCGAGCTCTGTAAATGAAAACGAATGGTATTGTCAATGGATTGACGATCGACCCGTGGGCAGAGAGGGATTCATCGAGTGTGCGTCGGAGACTAAGAAGAGTTCAACGATTGTGGACGATCCGAGACTCCCTGAAGGCTGGGAGAAGCACATCGTTGCTCGCTTCTCTGGCGTGACGAAGTGGGACGTGATACTCGTGCACCCGAACGGGAAGAAGTTCCGCAACAAGCAGGAACTAAAGATCTATCTTGAAGAGACGAATGAGTATCAGTATGATCCGAATGTGTTTGACTTTGGTATCCACAAGAAGCGCGCTCGGTTGATGAAAGTATACACGTACACAGAAGAGTACAAGGCGAAATTTGCTGAGATGGCAAAAGCTCAACAATTGGCCGCTCTGGAGGCGAAATCCTTGGGGAAGGTGGATGCAACAGTTGCTGCTGTTGTGGGGGAGCAAATTATCGGCGAGGGATTTGTCTTGGTGGATGGTCTGAAGGTGCAGATAATTGAGAATTTGTTCAGATGTCCCAAGGAGGGGTGCTTCAAAAACTTTAGGAAGGAGAATCTCTTAAAGATACACATCAAGCACTATCACGAGGAGATTGCGAGGCAGCTTACAGCTCCGCCCACAATGACTGACCTCGCGTACCAGAGAACAGTTTGTCAGGCCATTGAAGAGATCATCCCAGAAAAGTCTCCGAGGGTGCAGCAGTTGGAGAAGAGTACACAAGACACTTCCCCGCCAAGGCTGCAGAGGAAATCCAACACTGGGTCGAGTGGCGGGAAAGTTGGTGAGGTCAGGGTGAAACTGGAGGGCGGATATTTCAGACAAGGGAGTGATATGCAAGCGGACATCGTGAAGATCGAGCCAGAAAGTGTGCTGTCGAAGGAGATGCTGGCTGAAGAGCCTCGTCGGAAGTACAGTCTTCTGGAGGAGGCACTCAATTCCAAGGGCCCGTTGGATATAGGGAGGGACAGCAAAGGGCTGAAGTCACCTCTGTCTGAGCATTCCCAGGATGTAGAGTACACTGTGGACCCAGAGATGCACATCAAGACTCATGCGGTGAGTCGACCCCAACTCCTGAAGCGCAAGAAGAGCCATACTAAGTTCCGAGGAGTTTCCTCTTCAACGGGATATCGACGAAACTACGTGAAGAGGCGATTGATGCTGAAGAACCGCATGGTTCTCGAAGCTATGGGGGATTCTGAGGAGACTCGACACTCTTTCAGTGCTGACAATTTGTCGCATCGACCATCACTGAGGAGGGCCTTCGATGATGCTCATGAGACAACAAATAGTCAAACGACAACCACGGAGCACAGTCAAAGTCCGCAGTATATCAACGAGGGTGGGGAATTGATAAAGATTGTGCGGATGCGCCAGGAGGAGATAATCAACTGTCTGTGCTCCTTTTCGGAGGAGGACGGCCTCATGATCCAGTGTGAGCTGTGTCTGTGCTGGCAGCACGGCATCTGTAATGGAATTGAGAAGGAGAGTCAAGTGCCGGAGAAGTACATTTGCTACATCTGTCGCAATCCAGCTCGTGGCCGCGAGTCTATGAAGTATATTCACGATCAGGATTGGCTGTATGATGGAAAACTATCCACGACGCAGTATCACGCGCAAAATCCAAGTCTCTCGGATCGCTTTGACACATTGAAGTCCAGTCACACGCTCACGGGTAATTTGCTGGAGTTGAAGCGCTTCATGCACAGTCTGAAGCTGAAGATCAACATTGCTGAGAACAAGGATCATCCGAAGATGTATCTGTGGTCGAAGAAGTGGGAATCGAGTCCGCCGCCAGCGGAGTCCGGCAGTCAGGTGGAGGGTGTGAAGCTGGAGGAAGGGAAGAAGGTGAAGCCAGAAGGAGGCACTGGCGTGTCGCCGCAGAAGGTGAACAATGTGCAGCAACCCAAGATTCCAGAGCCTGAGGCGGCCATTGACCCGAAAGAGTGCCAACTGCGTCTTCTAGACCACATTCAGAAGATGCAAAGTCTGGCCATGATGCGACTGCAGACCATAGACGAGGAGATAATGGGTGAGTTTTTATTTATTATTACTCCTCACATTTAGAGATTCATTATGAAAATGAGGTGAGGAAATGTTTAACAGCTAAGGTAAATTTAAAGAATAATTTTCTATGTTTTACTTTCTTCTCAGCTTTGGAGGAGGCTGACAAGGGCTTTGCACAAATGGAACCTGTGGACAATTGCCCAAAGACGAAGCAGACAATGCGAATGCTTCTCGCAGACCTCCAGACACTCCACAAAATCGCCAAGATTCAAGGGTAAATATTCCCAGTCGTCACGTTGCTGTATAAGAAAAATATTGAGATGAAGCGCTGAAATGGTATTGCATATTCAATTGTCAAATACCCACGTAGCAGATGTTCGAAATATAATACAAAATACTTTATGCACGGTGTTTGAATGAAATTCTACACGGCGATGATTCCGTCATGTCCATTCATCGTCGGTCGAGACGCCTTGTTGAGAGTGGAAAAGACAGGTATTTTATCACTCAATTACCGTGCGATTGACCTGCTACCTTGTTTGATGTGGTATCACTCGATATTCATTGTAGTCTCGACTGGTGAAAATGCTCCTCAGCCACCCACTCACATATTTATTGACACAATGTACAGAGCTGTAGAGTTACACACCCTTCTGGTGCCGGTGAATCAGACAAGGTGGGTGAGTGAGGATGGGTTTGAGTGGAAAGCTTCAATCTAATTTGGAATGCATGATTTTTTTGCATTGTACATTACATATGAAATTTCTTCGTGAAGAATTCCTCCTGCAAAAGAATGTTCTTTGTGCATTTCAATGCATTTCAATAAGACAGATATCCACGTATTCCGCCAGTGTTGCAGTGGAGATGGAATTTTGTAATAATTTCATTTCCTCACTGAGATAATTGCATTATCTGCACCAATTGATTGGCAAGGTGAGTTCGTTGGGATTTCACGGATTCAGCACAGATTTATTCTGTTCATAGAGTTTTATATTTGCTACAAATTAAGTTTCTTGTCAGAAAGTATAGTTTGTAATAAATGTCCTTACATCAATTAGACTGACGGTTTGTCTCTAATGATAAGGTTTAATCAATTTGATCTTCAGTAATTGATGTTCATGGAAATGACCATCCTGTACATCAATGCTGGGAATTAATTATTCATTTCCATAGAGAATATCAGCAGAGTTATTACTACATTCATAGGTACAGTAAAATCAATACAAACATTGTAATTTGTATACAATACTGAAGTATTTTCTTGAATTTCCAGGTAAAATGACAAACTGACAAATCAAGGCGCAAAGTTAGAATGAAATGTGTTTAATTAATTTCCACAATTCACACGAATAAGAGTTTTAAAATTATGGATAATGATCGCAAAATTGTAGTGGAAGTTTAATTAGTCTCTACAATAGCTAATTAATTAGTGCAGAAACACAGGCAAACCCTCTTTACATCGCAAAGGGATTTCATGTCATATTTTCCTGACACTTACGTTTGTAACTTTTGATAGAAATGCAATTGCAAATTGCATGATTTCCTGATCTAAAGCACCTCTGGCGATTCTGCAGAAGGGCGTCAGGAGCAACAGGTTGGCGCGCTAAAACCCCTCAAAAGCGACACTTTCTCCCCTTGGCAGCGTCGATTTCCCCGATTTTCCCCACGTGGGGCAGAATCTTCCAACTTGGCGACACTTTCCCCTACATTTATCGCATAACTCATTCCATGACTCTTCCTTTTGAAACTGCCACGAACAGATTTACGGATGAGCATAATATTGCGGCTGAAGGCTGTGCAGATTACTGTAATATCCAAAGCTCTGTGACGTTATTAATCTGGCATTTTAATTGATTCATCCCTTTGTGGGCACGCTCTAAAATTGTCCTTAAAGTGCTACTTTTGCACTAGAGAATTCTGGCATAATAACGGATGTTTTATTATTAACAAAATGCACCTTCCATTTGGATAGAATTTGGGTTTAATGATTATAGAATGCTCCACATTAACTGCACTTTAATTGCCCTAGATTGGTTTGCATTAAATAATGTAGGATTGTTGATTTATTTCCCTGCAGACGTGTCAATGCGGAGGTGGGAAAATTTCACTGAATTTATCCATGATTTATCACTGAAAATTATTTCACTCTCAGTGTGTTTTAGTTTTATTACACTAATTTATATCAAATTTCAAATCCTCGTGAAGGACAATCTGACCATCTTTGCTAAGGAAAAAATCGGAGATTGACGTATAAACGGATCAAAATTGAAGGTCTGAAGTGAATATAATTGAATAACTGTGTGAAATAATTCAACTTTCTTGGAAGAATTTTTGGAATTCACAGAAGTTCACCGTGCGCGTGGAGAAATATTTAATAAAATTGCTCGTTTGACAGAGACGCTTGGGAACACCTGAAGAAGAGATTGTTAGAGTTGATGGAATGCGTGAGTGTGGTGTTGTGAGATGATTTGAATTAATTATTCCCCATAAGTTGTTTATAATTCTTGACACATGATATATTCAGACACCAGCCAAGCATTTCGCGAGGGATGTTTTTCTCACCATTCATGCGCAAAATATGTGGCTGAGGGTGGAATTTCACCAAAAGTCACATACTAAATAATTACATATTTCATATAAACTCCCAAATACAATCAATATATGAAATTCCGCGTGACAGCCGTTGAGGGGACGAAGATCGCCTAATGACGTGGAAAAAAGTGTTTCTCGAATTATTTTTTCAGTTTGCACAAAAAGTTTCGGTCAGCGAAAAGCATCGTGGATATAAATAAACGGCGTCATGAATTTGGGCCAACGTGGAAGTTTGCTTTTTTGATCAATTGCGTCGCCAATAATTTTTGTACGAAAATATCTTCACTCTTTGTTTCAGTGGATGACGTGATTAAAATAATCGCATCAACTCGTTAATGCATTGTATGGAATGTAATTAAATTATAGGGTGGCTTTGAGCCAATGATAGTGGTTTGTAAGTCACAGAGATTTAATTATGAAATGCCAGAAATGCTAGAGAATGGAGGTGATAAAGGGGATGGTGTTGACGCATATCGTGCTACTTATAACGTGTAAATTCTTCTGCGGTGGAAATTTTTCCACAAAATATTTAATCGGGAAGATACTGGCTATCATGTGGCCTTCACAACTCTATACGCAATGCATGTTTGTGTACATATAAGTATAAATTAAGTGTCTAGCAGTAGCATACATATGTACGTTCGCTCTCAAAGTGTTGAGCAATTTTTCTGAAAACGATTTTTGAAATACGGAATTCTGGGTAGAAATTTACATTTGCTATTAATATGGTAATTTTTAACGTAGAGAATTTCTCACTCAGCTTTAACCTGAATAAATGCTGAAAAAATTATAATAAAAATCAAGGAATAAAAAATGTAGACAATTGTTTACCATGATTTTCGTTTCCTTGACCACTTATCAACCTAAAATGCTCGAAGTGCTAAAAACAAATTTTTATCATAAGTGATAGAAAATCTCGAGAGCACCGAATTGAGTTTGATTCATCTTCAATTAGATTTTACAGAAATCAGTTACATTTCTTTGCATACAGAATCGTAGTCGAAGGAACTCTATTTGAAGCTACTGAGCTGTTTCAAAGACATTTCTGGACAAATTACTGTGCTTTTTCAAACGCATTCTCCCGAAAATGAATTTACATCGTACTGTACGAAACTGAGCAGAGTTGATAGATTGCCTTGAAGATTTATGCATACACCACCTCCTATAATCACAAGAGTACAAACTACTGTGCAAGTTCAGTAACTAATCACATATGCTGCAAGCGTACTGCAATTACGCAAAGTGTATTGGCGTTGGAGAAATCGAGGGGAGGTGGCGAAATAAATCCAGAGTGCTGGTGATTATCAGCGTGGCAGCGTGAAGTGGCCTAAATTGCGTGAACTACACACAAATCGGATCAGCAAGTCATAAAAAAAAGAGTGCTCGACACTCGCGGAAGTTCAAGTTCTCTTCTCGCCAATTTCCCATCTCGAATCTCATGTCCTGCCACCATAAATCGCGCCACGCTCAGCCGTTAAATCATTTTTATGGGGCCAACTCGGAGCGTCCACGCGGACAAGCAGGAGATGATCCTGGCCACCATTCATTACCTTGTCCCTGTGCGGCCAAATTGGGGCGCTCAGGTTGAGCTTCTCGCCTCGGGATTCGTGCACGAGAAACATCGGGAGATAATGTTCATAAAGTTTATTTCGCACATTCCAGTTTGCGCCATGTCTTAAGAAGAGAACACTAAAATTAATCAGTACGGCTCTATAGAAATTACTTGATCTTTTTTCCACTAAATTAAACTTAATCGCCTCAAGTGTCGGCTTGTTGGGGTGGTTGTTGTGGTGGTCCGGTGAGAGAGATTCGGGCGGAAAACATTTAAGAACAAATTAATCCAAAAATTTATCACAGTCATGCAGTCATATGTTAAGTATAAAAAATTTCCTTCACTTATGATACCAAATTGTCTTACTTACTTACTGTCAAAATCACTAAAAATGTAGAGACCTTAAATCAGCTCTTACGACAAGTTGTGAGGGAGGTAAATAAGGGAAAATTAGGACAAATTGTAAGCCTTATAGTACGATACTACGACTTACTAATGGTAGTAATGTAATAACATACTTATCTGAATAATGATTAAGCCTATTACAAATGAGGATTGGTGGAAAAAATGATGTACATTCGAGTGTTGATCGCGAAGAGTGAGCAGCGAAGTGCTGTTGAGACACTTCTTTTCTCCCAAGAAAACCAATTTGCATAAGCAATTTCATCCACAGACTCAGTCTAGAGTGGCGTCATCAGTGATGATAAAATGTGGCGCGTGTATAAATACCCAAATTTAAACCTAATGCGCAGCATAACTCGACGTTTTCTTAGCTTACATCTTAACAAAAGGGAACATAGCCAATGATTAGAAACTATTGAAATATCACGATCTCTATAAGCTAAGCCTCCAGACTTTTTCTTTATCACCATGGGATTTCGCAGAATGAATCTTGCACATGGTTTTTCTTTCTACTGTTTATTACTACCCAAAATCAAGACTACATAAAATGATAAAAACAGAAATTCTTGGAATACAACTACCACATCTATAAAATGGCAAAAAACAAGGATAACTTCTCTCCCATTGCGGTGAAGACCAGAGCAAAATAATCTGCAAACATTTGAACATACAAAATAGTGTCATACTGCATTACAGTCTAGGCAATTTCAACATCTATCCAAATAGAGCACCAAATAATTACTTAAAGATCCCTTATCGCTACCTTTTCGTCCGTTCGTTCCAAATCAAAAGGCATTTATACACTTTCTTCACGACAAAAATGTGAGACTGGCGCATAAACCGTAGACCTTACACGTACTTTATCATCACTGATCGCAGGGTTTGTGTTTGTATCTTAAAAACAAGATTACAAATAATTGTTAAGGCTAGTTACTTTAGAGAAATCATTGAAGGATTACGTGTAAATAAATCAAACTTGAGTTATGACGTTCGGAAAACAAATTATGCGAATTAAAATAACTAAAACTAACAATTATTCATCATCTAGGGGGTAAAGGTTCTTCTTTTTAGTGTCTAGTGCCTGTCCTTACAACCAAGTCTTAATCGTATGCGTTGAACGTGGTTCAGTCTTTTATCAATTTCTTTTCTTATGCTCATCTTAACATCTCGACACAGTCGCGAATGATAGCGTCTTAAAAGTAATTATAGACCATCTTACTGATTATATTTATTATATTTTAATACAATTTCTTTTGATAAAATTATAAATTTGAAGTTCTCATTTACCTTTTTTTTATTCTTACTCTTACCAGCTCTTGTTTTTATGCTCATTTCTCAATATTTATAATCAATATTAAACCTTGTTTTCTGTTACTCTTCTCTCTGAAAATTTACTTATTAGATAAATCATTAGACATCTCTTTGTGGTTTCTTATCCAACAGGGGAAGGGGATGGGAGGGAGGGGCATAAATCAGGGGGCGCCTGCAGTTGCGGCGGGGCAGCGGGAGGTGGAGGAGTCGGCTTGAGGGGTAGTGTTCTACATGGGCGTCTCATGTACAGGAAGATGGTATCAACCGGAGATGCTGCACAAGGGGCTTAAGCATTGTATTTGGGGGCGCGGAGATGGGGCGGCTGATAGGGTGTTTGCGCGATGCCCTGCTTCTTGGTGTCGTACGTGGTGCGAATGGGGCCGTACGACGAGCTCTGATCCGTGCCGTAGTTGCCGAAGGCATTGTAGCCTCCGCCGCCGCCGCCTCCGCCCGTGCCATAGCCGGCGTACTCCACTGCCGGCCCGCCAGTAGGGTCACCGGGTGGCGTCGGGGCGCTGCCGCCCTGAGGCCACGAGTTGTAGTTCCAACTGCTGCCCGAGTTGGCGCTGTGCGCGCCCGTTTGGGCATACATGTCGTAGCCACCGGAATAGCCGCCGCCGTAGGGCTGGTTGGGCGTGGGCCCGGCCGAGTAGGAAGCGCCCCACTGCTGCTGCTGCGGAGGGCCCTGTGGCGGAGGCGGAGCGCCCCAGCCTTGGTACGACTGCGGCCCCGACGGAGCTCCGTAATTGTAGCCGCCGTAGTTCTGCTGCTGCGGAGGCCCGCCCCAGCCCTGCTGCTGGTACTGCATGCCGCCCGGATGCGACATGGGGTGGCCGCCGCCCATCTGGCCATTGGTGGGGCCCATGTGGCGCGGGCCGCCGCGATCGCCACGTCCTCCGAAGCCGCCGTCTCGTGGCTCAGCCTTCTTCACCTCCACTTGCTTGCCGTTGAGGTTGACGTAGTGCTTCTGAGTCACCCGCTCGACGGAGCTCTCGTCCTCGAAGGAGAGAAAGCCGAAGCCGCGTGACTTCTTGCGCTCCTGGTCGTACATAATTACCACCTCCATCACCTTGCCATAGCGACCGAAGAAGGTGCGCAAATCCGTCTCTGTGGCGTTGGCCGGAAGGCCGCCCAGAAAAACTTTGGGATATCCGCCGCCCTTTTGCGGCTTCGACATGTAGCGCGGGTTGCATGGCTTCGGGTCAATTGTGCGCCCGTCCAACTCATGTGGTCCGTTCTGGAGTGCTATGTCAACATTGGCCGGGTCGGCGAAGGTCACGAAGCCAAAGCCACGCGATCGCCCGGTCTCATTGTTCTTCATCACCACGCAGTCCACCACCTCGCCGAAGCGCGTGAAGTAACTCTGTAGGTTCTCCTGCGTCGTTTCCCAGGAAAGGCCGCCAACGAACAACTTTCCACGCTCGTCATTATAATCCTCATTTGCCATCTTCGGACGCCACCAAGTAATCTTCCTCAACACGCTAGACGCCGAGAAAGAGAGAGAAAACGGATACACGTGAGCCCACCTGGGCGGCAAAGTGGCGAAAATGCCTTTTTTCACACACCACACACGGGTTTTAGCGTAATGGAGGCTCACCCCTCGACAAAGTATCTTCCAAGTGTCCCGTCTTTGTTTGCCAATTTCCAGTGCTTTTACACTCTCCCTTCACCTACTTATGTTGCTACCTTACTTATTATAACACACAGAAATGTACTCACACAAATTACTTAACTATTGCCTTATACTAAACAGATATTTTTCTGATTTTGGATCGTCAAGAGCACATTGATTACCGCGCGTATTATGACAATTCGACAATTTCGAGGAACGCCATGACAGCGTTTGGTATGAAGATGGCCGCAAGACCTCCGCAGGGCAGACAACATCGCACAATCAAGCACACGCACGCCCCCTAGCGTATTCTCACTGCCCTACAATTTTCCACTGCTCTTCAAAGTTAACGCACTTTTAGAGTTTTAAAATGCATTTTCACCTTTACAGTAAACTTCAGAGAGCCTTCAAGTATGGAATGTTGTCCCTTTACTTGGAATTCCATTACATAAGCAATAATAGTGCACAAATTTTGCAGGAATACATTTATATGGCGTGTCACACGAAATACAATTTCCACAAAATTCCTCTACAAGAGATTGTTATCCGGCGCAAAGACTATAAATTTATGTCCAAATTGCGTTAACGCGGCTAAAATTAAAACTCTTTTGGCGAAGTTTTACTCGAAATAATGCATAATTATGCTTGAGTTTGAGAATACCTATGTTTATTTCCGTCAAACTTGACCAATATTTCTAAAAATAACACTTCATTAAATGTTTTATGATTAATCTCAATATTTTAAGAAAATTAAATAAGAATCCTGACTAACCTTTTCTTCATCTATAGAAAATAATGAAAAAATCGGTGTTATAAACAAAGTTCAACTTATGAACTTTCCAAGTTCATCCCTTCCGTTGAAGTTTCTTCTCTACAATTTGCAAGACATTTCAGACAATAGATTTATGAGAGGATTTAAAGTTGAGGGTAGAATGAAACTATACAATGATGAGCCTGGTTTCAATGGCAGAAACTAGAAATTCTATTCAGAAAAGTCGGTTAGAAATAAAGTCAGAATAAGAACAAGATTCCTGGAATACCAGATAACTTTGTAAACAAAATGAGCGGGGTGGTATAATAAAATTCGAAATAAGTTTATCTGTTTCATCGGTCTCAGCAGAGCTTTCGAAAGCAGGGAATTCTATTGGATTTCCCTTCGGTCATCCCTTCTGCGAGAAAGCTGTAAATTGAAAGGAATACATAAAAACACTCCCTCAAATTGAGAAAAGTCATCAAGTTTGCTATTCTCATTTTGAAACGAAATGGCATTTGAAACAAAGCCCGGTGGCAATGATTTTTCAGTGCTGGAAAGAGGACCAACATAAAAACATGAGCGGAGAAGAGAACGTCAATAAGCTGTTGTTCATTAATTAATTTATTCACTTAATTGTTCAAATGCATTTGGGGTGTTCCTGAAAGTTTTCCACCCATTGTGCTCGAAACAGGAGTTTTTTCTTCTCATGTCCGCAATTTTCACGTCCGTGGTTGCTGAGAAGTCGCTCCCTCGGAATTCCCCGATGCGGGGGAAAATCAATAGAATGAGGAAGACAGCGACACAGCATCCATTCGAAACACCCTCAGGAATTTCATCAGAGAGCAAGTGGACATGAGTTGGAAAGTGGCAGCTCCAGACTTCGCTGGATAGCATTTCGCCATGGCTGATAAATGAATGCAAAGCGCGAAGCTGTGACTGCAATTAAACAATTTCTATTAATTTTGCCGTGGAAAAAAACTGCTATGAAATGTGAACTTCAAATAATTTCGCGTGCACACTTGTTATCCATGTTGAATCAAAATTACAGGGCGTGTTAGAGGATGATGTTACATTCAGTGATAATATCGTCTTTTCTGTCTTTTCCGAGTCACGGAGTTTCGCAATTGGGCTAGGCAATGAATCAAGGACTTTCTTTGGGCATTTTCACAGGGAAATTTCGGAAATTCCTGCTCCTGATGAATTCCTAATTAGTTCGTTTGCTTGAAATTCTTTGCTTTGTGCGAACAGACAAATGTATGTATATTTAACTTTGACAAAGGAACATTTCGCTGGTACACTGAAAGAAAAATTTATTCTCTTATTTCAAATGATTTCCTCTCAACAACCATCCAATTTACTTCAGAAATATAAGTCTATTTGCCATTTAACTCTCCTCGTTACACACACACACGACATTGACTGAGCTCCAAAGGGCGGCGAATGTGCAATGAATAGAATAGCTGGGAAGTTTTTCTTTGAATCCACCACCCACTTGCATTCCAAACAGTTCAAATAATCGCGTGCATGAGAGCTCGGGTGTGCTATGAACTAACCGCATCCGGATTCCGCAAAGAATACCGAACTTCAACTTTGTGGCCAAGTTTGCGATAGTGGCCCTCACTGGCAATGCTTCCCCGGCAAAGTTTATCCATTCCAGCGACTTAGTGGTGACGGAGTGGATTGCAATTTTTACTTTCAATGTCCTCAGCTAAAAATAAAATATCCTTACGATGTAGTTAACGCTTCTCTTGGACTATGCGTGAATTCTTTGGGCAAGTAAAGTAAATCAATGCGCACTCTTGCACAACTTCTCATCCAAACAGACTAGAGAATTGAAGGCAATATTTATTGATTCGGAGTTCCATTCCTCATCCACACTGTATAGTAATGGATGCCAGAGAGAAAATGCGCTTTCCTCACTCCCACACATTTTGTCTTATGGCTGAATAGTGGCGAAAAACTTTTCTTATTTTCTTCTACCACTGTTTCGGAGAAAAGCCATGCACTAAATGGATTCTCGGTTGAACTTTTTTTCGTTGTAATTGGATTGAAAGATTCTATTAATGTGGTATAAAAGGAAAAAAAGAGCAAAGCAATTTTGCTCTCAGTGCCAACAGGCGTTCTAATTAAAATGATTCACCAAATTATTGAAATGTTATGAAAGTTATTACAACTCTCAAGAAGAGTACAAAGTTATTTGAATACCTTTACGAAGGCACAAAGCTTTATATTGAGAATTCTAATAGGTTGCCGAATTCTCCCCTTCAAAGAACATCTCTTTCGAGATTCACAATCTTTCAACGCAGTGCAAATTATTGTTAAAATAAAAAAGAGAAAAAGTAAATTAAATTAAAGTGTTCTTGCATTTTGACTAGTGCCTATAATTTTCCATTCTTGTTCTATATTCAATCGATAGATTCACTTTATTTATGTATCATCAAACTTTTGTTCTATCCGTCTTCAAACAACGAAGTGTAATTACTCACAACCGCTCTGACCAAGTGTACTGCGTATACAAAAGCATGGAAATTGAATCAATCTATTGTGAAATTACTATGCTAGTACTGTGTAATTAAAATAAGTTCAAAATGATTCTGCAAATTTGCTGAAACTGAGGAAATCTACGCTCTTTGCTGCATTCAATCATGAGGCCGCTTAAATGTTTGCATATGTTACGTTTAAATTGACATTCCGTTGAATTTGTTTCGAAACAATTCACAAATGACTTGACACCGTTCTCGGGTCATCTGAATAACTTCATGAACAGCCTAATGTCAATTGCAGGTGCATTATCAAAATTAAGCAGAATACGCGACAGAATTGCCGAATCATTTGAATGTTGCGCGTCATAAATTGTGCATTATGCATGAACGTCGAGCCCAATTTTCCGTGAATCGCTTGGTGCGCATCAAGTACTCACGAGGACCATCAGAGTGAACAGGAAATAAAACCATTAAAATAAAAGCTTACACTACCGAGCGTATAATAGTTGCACCGCCAGCAGATAAATTACAGTGTAGAATTCGGTATTTTAATTTAGTGCTTAATCTTCCGCAGAAGTTAATTATTCAGATGTGCAATTAAAAGTGGGTATTGTTGCAATTATATAGTGGCTCCCCAAAATTGCCACTAGAAGAAATTACACGAAATTTGTATCATGGGAAAGTTGGATACAAAATCCGATATACATTATTCAAATGGAAATGAGAAATTCCCTTTCTAAACATATCACGAACATTTTACCTCAACTTTGGGATTGTTTTCAATTCGAAGAAACTTTTTAAACGAATATTTCCGCTGGCAATGGAAATCGCTAGACCCGCCAGACCGTATAAAATTGTTTCACGGAAAGTGTGAATTGACAAAAATATTTACTCTCGCTCTTCCATTGTGTTTACGTGGAAATCCACTCTGAATTCTAACTGAGATCATTGACTTTTCTCTATGTTGTTCTCAGAGTTTCTGCATATTTGATCCTCTTTCACATTTCTGTGCACAAATTGAAAATGAAACACTGCATTGACTGGTGAAATGTAATAAATGTTTCAGAGATTAATTTATTTATTTAGAATAAATCATGCGATGGTCCACCAATTAAGTGTTTTGAGCTGTCAATTTAATCAATCAGTTTACATTATTCCACGATGCTCTCGCCCGTCAAAAAATAATTGGATTTCCCATTTTCCATTTCACTGGATGAATCAGTGGGAAAAGTTGAAATCTAAGCACGAAAGGGCTAATTTAATTCCAAAGCATAGAGATTTGGGGAGAAACTTTCCATGCGAAAGAAGGGTGAGTTTGAGATTTAAATTACAGCACTTTTGACCTCAAAATCGCATTGCGAGGGAGATAAGATGTGATGGGTGACGAGAGGATTTTTTTTCCCTCTAATTAAGGAGGAAATTCCCACGTTTCCATTCTCTTTCATTCAGCGTGGCGCGCAAGAATGCTGAATGGAGTGATTAAAAATAAACAAAGCGATTAATGATAATGAGAGCGAGGAAGAGGTATTACGAGCAAAAAGACATCATAAGAATAAAACTCTTTGATTTAATCTATCCTTGACAGCCCCTATTGTTTTTAAAGCGCATCTCTTTCATCCTGGAATTCACAGATTCTATAAACGGAGAGAAAATACTCATCGTATATAAATATAGGAAGTTAAACAATTAATAGATAGAAACAAGTACAAATATTATTACTTATTGTTTCACTGAAATTTTGTAACATTTTCCAGAGTAGGAAAATGCAACCTTCCTCAATAATCACTGGTACAAAGTGAATCGAACAAAGCTGGAACTTGAGCTTTTAACAGACAACTACATAGTTGTGTTCAAGTTTGGGTGAAAGCTATGCATGTCGCATGAAATTTTATTGCATTTTGCTGAATGGACAGTTAGTAGTGGAATGCAAATATCTTTTGTGCGCAAATATTTGCAATGTGGGAAGAAAAGGAAAGGTCATCGAGGAGTGCGTAATGTACTACGAACCTAATATCTCTGCTTT